GAGCGCGCGAATCGGACACAGCTTGTGCCACCGCTCCTCCTCAGGAGAGGAGAAGGGTGGCGGGTAGAAAGCTGTGAGGATAATAGGAGAAAAGGAGCCCACCACCTTAGGCACAAAGGCAGGGTTGGGCTTCAGGGACACCTTCATGTCACCGGATGCAAACTGGGTGCAGGATGGGTGCACAGAGAGAGCCTGTAAGTCACTAACTCGCTTTGCAGATACCAAAGCCAGGAGTAGCACCACCTTAAGAGACAGGATCTTAAGGTCCAGGCCGTCCATAGGTTCAAATGGAGGCCCAGAGAGGGCCGACAGCACCAAGGACAGATCCCATGAGGGCACCAGGGGTCGAGACACAGGGAGAAGCCTGCGCGCGCCCCTCATGAAGCTACACACCAGGGGGTGTTGACCTGCCAGTTTCTTCCCAAAACCCAAGTGTCGGGAGGAAATGGCTGCTAGGTACACTTTAATGGTGGAGAAAGCCTTCTTCCCATCCAACAAGTCTTGCAGGAAAGACAGAATGACGTTCACCGGGCATTGGAAGGGTGAGACCTCCCTGCCCTGACACCAGGCTTCAAACACCCTCCATTTACAGTCATATAGGGACCTAGTGGAGGGGGCCCTAGCATTCTGAATGGTTCGAATGACCGCCTGGGGCAGCTCTGCTGACACTAGCCCGCACCCCTCAGGGGCCAGGCCCACAGGGCCAGCCGTTCTGGATGAAGGTGGAAGATCGAGCCTCCCGCTTGGGACACCAGGTCCCTGCGAAGCGGAAGTTTCCAAGGTTGGCCCTCCAGGAGCTGGAAAATGTCCGCCACCCAGTGCATAGCTGGCCAGTATGGGGCCACCAGAATAAGAGTGTGGAGCTGGGTTCGTACCCTCAGCAAGGTGGGTGGTATCAGGGCCACTGGGGGAAAAGCGTAAAGCAGTCCCCGTGGCCAGTCGTGCGCCAGCGCGTCCACGCCGAGTGGAGCGTCTCGGTCGCGCAGAGGACAGTGAGCATTCTCCTTGGAGGCAAAAAGATCCACTACGGCTGTGCCGAACCGGATCCAAATCTGTTCCAACACTGCTAGATGCAGGCTCCAATCCCCGTACAGGGGTGTCCCTCTGGACAACAGATACGCCCCCCGATTCAGAACACCCGGGACATGGGTGGCTCTGATTGAGAGGAGATGCCTGCTGCACCATAGGATCAGTCTGCGTGCCAGCGTGTGTAACCGCACGGAGCGCAGCCCCCCCTGGTGGTTTATATAAGCCACAGCCAAGGTGTTGTCTGTTCTCACTAGGACATGATGGCCGGAGAGAAAAGGCAGGAAGCGCCTCAGGGCTAGAAAGACCGTGAGGAGTTCCAGATAATTTATGTGTGTCCCCCAGAGCTCTCTGCTCCACACACCCCTGACAGAGCGACCCTCCAGGAGCCCCCCCCAACCTGACAGGCTCGCATCTGTCGTGACCACTCTCCTCACGAGAACCAACCCCAAAGGCACCCCCTGTGCCAAGAGGGAGGGGTGACGCCAACAGCGGAGCGCCGTGACGCACGCTGCAGAGACCGTCACCCTGCGCGCTCTGTGGCGTACTGGAGAGAGACCCAGAGAAGCCACCCAGCGTTGAGAATCTCTCATGTGTAGACGGCCGAGTGGTACCACTGAAATAGCCGACGCCATGAGACCCAAAAGCCTGAGGCATAACGCAAACCGCACCGAACTGTGTAGGCGGAAGCGCGCCAGGCAGAACGAGAGCGCGTTCACGCGCGGTGCCGAGAGACGGGCCGTGAACGCCCCTGAGTCCAGATTCAGACCTAGAAAGGTTATTTTCTGGGAGGGGAGCAAAGCGCTTTTCTGCCAGTTTATTCTGAAACCCAGACCACACAAGGGAGGGATCACAACCAGCGTGTTTGACGCTGTCTCCTCTCTGGACCGTGCCAGCAGGAGCCAGTCGTCTAAATACGTGGCCAGCCGAATGCCCCTCCCTCTCAGAGGGGCGATCGCCGCCTCCGTACACCTGACAAACACCCTCGGGCTCAGCGAGAGGCCGAATGGGAGCACGGTGTATTCGTAACACACTCCCTGAAAGGCAAACCTCAGAAATGTCCTGTGTGGAGGGTACACGGGAACATGAAAGTATGCGTCCCTCAGGTCGATTGAGGTGAGCCAGTTGCTCTGGTGAATCAGACGCAAAAGGGATGAGAGCGTGAGCATTTTGAATCTGTACTTTCTGAGGCATCGGTTCAGGGCCCTCAGATCCAGGATCGGGCGAATCCCGGTCCCTCCCCGCTTCGGGACCAGGAAGTACCTGGAGTAGAAACCGCTCTGAGACCGATCGGGAGGCACAATGCATATCGCTCCCTTCTCCAGCAGGGAGGAGATTTCTCCCTGAAGGATGTGAGCTGACGACCCCTGGGCGTGGGAGAACACTACGCCGGAGAATCGAGGAGGAACAGAAGCGAATTGGAGCCTGTAACCCCTCGAAATTGTTCTCAGCACCCAACGTGAAGCAGAAACCGCTGTCCATTCCTCCCTGTGAGTGGAGAGCGGTGACACAGCCGTGACACACGGAGCACCAGCTCCCTCCAGAGGTTGTGGGGCAGCGGTGCTCGTGGCAGCCACTGCGCATGCGCGGGGGCTTTGTGCTTTGACGGCCCAGGCTTACGGGGACGACCCGTGGCGCCGCCCCCGCCTGGAACCGCTCATGGGTGACATTTATATTGATTTTTGCTGCGCCCTTGACATCTTGTCTGGATGCGACAGCGAACCTTTCAATGCTCCTTGAGCGTGACATGTTTGTGAAAAACAATGTGAGTGCTTGTGACGTGTGCTTTGAGCCGGCACCGCCGGCTGCACGTCCTGGCCCCACCCTGGACCGCTCGGGAACTCTGCCGGAGGGGTTCCGTGAGGGGGGGGAGAAAGCACCATGGCAACATCCAACAGGAGGAGCTGGCGAACGGGGAACCGCCAGCTGCAGCGTCGGGAGGGAAGAACTCCGACAGGCTGCCCACTTCTTCCTCCTCACCTGCTGACCGCCGTGTCTGGTGGATTGTCCCGGTGGCGGAGCAGCTTGGTTGCCGGATCCCTGAGGCCAAACTGGTCGAGGCTCTGAGCCCGAAGGAGCTGGTTGGACAGCTTGAGGCTTCGGGCGCTTTGGGATCCGGAACTGAGGCTGGGCTCGGGCAGCTGCCTGAGGCAGGTTCGGCCGAGCCGGCAGCGCCGGTGAGGGTTTACGGGGAAGGCAGAGATGAAGGGCTTCATCCTCTTTCTTTTGAGCCGCACACCGTTGCTGCATTGATGCCAGGGCAGAGCCGAAAATGCCTTCAGGCACGATTGGCATGTCCAAAATGTCCTCCTTCTCTCTCTCAGAGAGGTTGGTGAGGTTCAGCCATCGTGCACGTTCTTGAAGCACCATCATGCCCATAGCTTTAGCCGTAGCATGGACCGCGCAGCGCTGCACACGCAGGCAGATGTCGGTCAGTACGGTGATTTCCTCCCGCACCTCCGGGTCCGGCTTCGTATTCATGTCCTCACAGAGCTCGGCTTGGTACGCCGAGAGCATGGAGGAGACATTCAAAGCTCGGACCGAGATGGCGGCAGCCTTGTACGCTCTCTCGTTCAGCGCCGACTGGAAGCGGTCCGCCTTCGCAGGGAGAGCGGGAGGCCTGGAGGAAGTCGCCGAGAGCCGTGGGTGCAGGTGGGCTGCAACCAGCGGTTCCATCGGCGGCATGCAAAGCATGCCAGCCGTCTCCATCCCTTCGAAGTCCAGCGAGGAGGCTCCTTGGACAGGAGACCTGGAGCTGAACGGGTGTTTGTCCCAGGAGGACCCCACTTCTTGGAGTAGCTCCGGGAAGGCGGGGAGGAGGGGCTTTGCCGCCCTCGTGGCCTGAGGCAGCTTCTTTCCCTCGTAGCGGGATCTGACAGCCTCAGTGACCACGGTGGGCCAAGGGATGTTGAGCCTGGTCGCAGCGCGTCGGCAGACTGACTGCATGTCCAGGTGGGCGGCCGGAGAAACCGCTCCATCCCTGGGAGAGGATGGAAAGCTAGGCATGGAGGCCTGAGCGATGGGGAGAAAGACGTCGTCCTCCTCGTCCTCCTCTGAAATGAGGAGTTCCGAGGTGTCCTCGTCGTCTCCGTAGTCCAACTCCAACACATCCTCGGCGGGGTGGCTCGGACCGGCCAGTTCGAGCTGTGAGCCCCAGCTGAGTTCGGCACACGGTTCCGGCTCCGGGAGGACATGTTCGCTGGCGTCCCCAGGCGGTGGCCCAGGGGCCGGCAGGCAAGGGTCCTTCCCCGACAGGCTAGCTTGGCGCGCTAGCCGCCGGCGAAGGCTCTTCAGGGTGAAGCAAGCGCAGCTCTCACATGACCCGGGGACTTCCAATGCCAGCTGGGCGTGTTCCAGCCCGAGGCAGCTCGAGCAGACCCTGTGCGGGTCTTTGCTTGAGATTTTGTTCCCACAGGTACAGAGGCGAGCTCCTGCACCGTCGACTCCTCTGGTGGGAGGAGCGGCTTCCATGTTGGCTAACTGGTGTGTTAGCATAGAACGAACAGATGCACTGGAGTGTGAAGCTGCTCGTTATGCCCCGAGCCTATGGTGAAGGTCAGGACAGAAGGACGGTAAGTTAACGTTCGGCGACGGAGAGAATATTAGAAGGCTCCGTCTGTGAACAGTTGAGCTAACTTACCTCAGAGATAAGCGACCACCGAAGCGAGAAGAGGTGATTGAATAGTGCGTACGTTGGGACGCTTGCTACTTATAGTAGCAGGGGGACGCGTACGTCACGGTCACTGGCCAATCAGGATTGGCGTATTGAGATAAGTGCTTCTGAGGAATCCGCGGAGGGGCGTATCCCATAGTGAGACATCGAAACGAATGTTAAGAAAGAGAACAGTTTATTTAAAAACCGTTTATTGGTATTTCTCTTCATTCAGCTGAAGTGTCTCTGACAGAGCATTGTGTTAAATCCAGCCTGTGAAACACTGCCCTCATGTGGATTAATGTGTCTCCTTCCAATCCAGAAAAGCGGAACAAATGTTCTCTGAGCTTGAAGTGTGGAGTTGTGTTCCTGAGAGAGACCGGCTGGAAATCTATGAGGATGTCTTGTTCTACCTGGCCAAAAAAGAGAAGGTGAGTTGTTGTTTCATGGTAAACCCACGATGGTGGAGGGTGAAGTGACATTAGCTCAATCATCCCCTTTTGGTCCCCACACAGGAGCAAGCCAAGCAGCTTAGGAAGAGGAACTGGGAGGCTCTGAAGAACATTCTAGACAACATGGCCAACGTCACATACCGCACCACTTGGTCTGAGGCGCAGCAGTATCTGCTGGACAACCCCACGTTTGCTGAGGATGAAGAGCTGCAGAGTAGGGTCGATTTGGATATTATGTTAGTTGGAGAGGATTTCTTTGTGTTGATGCCTTTTGTGCCGACAGACATGGACAAAGAAGATGCCCTGATCTGCTTTGAGGAGCACATCCGCGCTCTGGAGAAAGAGGAGGAAGAGGAGAAACAAAAGACTCTTCTCAGAGAAAGACGACGACAGCGCAAGAACAGGGAGTCCTTCCAGGTACGAGTCCCAAACACTTCAGAGAAATGTTTTCTTCACAAAAACAAACAAGTTTCGGTTCTGAATTAAGATATCATTTTTCTGTCTCAGAAATTTCTGGATGAGCTCCACGACCATGGCCAGCTCCACTCCATGTCTTCCTGGATGGAGATGTACCCGGCCTTGAGCTCCAACATGCGATTTGCCAGCATGCTGGGCCAGCCTGGTACGCCGTGACTCGAACATAAACACGGCCGCAGATAAAAATCATCAATATTTAAGTTGTTAATGTTCAAATAATCTGTCCTGCAGGTTCCACTCCACTGGATCTTTTTAAATTCTATGTGGAAGACTTGAAAGCTCGTTACCACGACGAAAAAAGAATCATCAAAGACATCCTGAAGGTAAGAGTATGGGAATAAGGATTCGTCGCCTTGTTTGTACTTTTTTAGTTGCTTTGATGGTTTCTGATGACTAACCTCTGTCTCCTGCTTTTTCCTCCAGGATAAAGGATTCTCGGTAGAAGTCAACACCAGCTTTGATGATTTTGGATCAGTGATCAGTTCAGACAAAAGAGCCACCACTCTGGATGCTGGAAACATCAAGTTGGCCTTCAACAGTGTAAGACTCCGGATGTGTAGCGTGACCAGCGGTCCCACCAACGCAGATTCACATCAGTTTGTTTGAGTCACCTAGAGCACAGGTGCCAAACTCGGGCCCTCGGGCCAAATTTGGCCCACGAGATTAGGGATGCACCGATGGATCGGCATTTGATCGTAATCGGCCGATAGTGCCCCTATCGGTTTTGATCGGAATTTTCAAAATACAGGTGCTGGCCAGTAAATTAGAATATCATCAAAAGGTTGAAAATATTTCAGTAATTCCATTCAAAACGTGAAACTTGTACATTATATTCATGCAATGCACACAGACCAATGTATTTCCAATGTTCATTACATTTAAATTTGATATTCATAAGTGACAACTAATGAAAACTCCAAATTTGGTATCTCAAAAAATTAGAATATTCTGAAAAGGCTGAATATAGAAGACACCTGCTGCCACTCTAATCAGCTGATTTACTCAAAACACCTGCAAAGGCCTTTAAAAGGTCCCTCAGTCTTGTTTTGAAGGCACCACAATCATGGGGAAGACTTCTGACTTAACAGCTGTCCAAAAGACAATCATTGACACCTTGCACAAGGAGGGCAAGACACAAAAGGTGATTGCTAAAGAAGCTGGCTGTTCGCAGAGCTCTGTGTCCAAGCACATTAACAGACAGGCGAAGGGACGGAAAAAATGTGGTAGAAAAAAGTGTACAAGCTCTAGGGATAACCGCACCCTGCAGAGAATTGTGACGACAAACCCATTCAAAAATGTGGGGGAGATCCACAAAGAGTGGACTGCAGCTGGAGTCAGCGCTTCAAGAACCACCACGAGGAGACTCATGAAAGACATGGGATTCAGGTGTCGCATTCCGTGTGTCAAGCCACTCTTGAACAAGAAACAGCGCAAGAAGCGTCTCGCCTGGGCCAAGGACAAAAAGGACTGGACTGATGCTGAGTGGTCCAAAGTTATGTTTTCTGATGAAAGCAAGTTCTGCATTTCCTTTGGAAATCAAGGACCCAGAGTCTGGAGGAAGAGCGGAGAAGCACAGAATCCACGTTGCATGAGGTCCAGTGTAAAGTTTCCACCGTCAGTGATGGTGTGGGGTGCCATGTCATCTGCCGGTGTTGGCCCACTCTGTTTCCTGAGGTCCAGGGTCAATGCAGCCGTCTACCAGGAAGTTTTAGAGCACTTCATGCTTCCTGCTGCTGACCAACTTTATGGGGATGCAGACTTCACCTTTCAACAGGACTTGGCACCTGCACACAGTGCCAAAACCACCAGCACCTGGTTCAAGGACCATGGTATCCCTGTCCTTGATTGGCCAGCAAACTCGCCTGACCTTAACCCCATAGAAAATCTATGGGGTATTGTGAAGCGGAGGATGCAATACGCTAGACCCAACAATGCAGAGGAGCTGAAGACGACTATCAGAGCAACCTGGGCTCTCATAACACCTGAGCAGTGCCACAGACTGATCGAGTCCATGCCACGCCGCATTACTGCAGTTATTGAGGCAAAAGGAGCCCCGACTAAGTATTGAGTGCTATACATGCACATTCTTTTCATGTTCATTCTTTTCAGTTGGCCAACATTAGAGAAACAAACATTTTTTCATTGGCCTTTAGAATATTCTAATTTTCTGAGATACCAGATTTGATGTTTTCATTGGTTGTCACCTATAAATATCAAAATTAAACGTAATAAACATCGGAAATACATTGGTCTGTGTGCATTGCATGAATATAATGTACAAGTTTCACGTTTTGAATGGAATTACTGAAATATTTTCAACCTTTTGATGATATTCTAATTTACTGGCCAGCACCTGTAGATCAAAGCAAACCGATCAGGTAGGGTTGTCACGGTAACCAGTGTAGCGCTAAACCCCGGTAAAAAAAAAAGTTGACAATAATAACGGTCTTGTTTTAAAAAAAAACTATATTATCTTGGTGGGTTTACTGTGGCTGCGGTGTAGGCGCGGTGACCCTTACCAGCCACCGTATCATCTGCAGAAGTTGCCGGCGGCACATGCACGCTTTGTTTACAACAAAACTTTCTTGAAGCTAAAGCTGAAATAATGGTCAAAGGAGGAGACGGCAACACTCAGGAGGACATTTATTATCCCTCAAAGAAGACAAAGTCGGAAGTACGGGCATATTTTAGATATTTGAAGAATGCCGAGGGAGTTTATAGAAGACGGGCGGCTATCCTGTTTGCAGCACGAGCAAAAAAAGAGTCTGTGAAAGGCAGCAACGCTTCAAATCTCATGACACATCTGCGTGACCATCACCCACATCTCTACAGTCAACGCAAGGCAAGCTAACGTTAGCGTTTTAGCTAAAATGCGTGATCTGAGGATTTGGGTCGAGGGAGAATGCAACGAGTCGCTATATAAAGCAGCCGCAGCGCCGCTACCTGCATATAAACCGTGTCGCGGACACCGCCATGTTGAAATGACGCTACGCATTACGGGGCTCCCGGGGCAGATAAGAGTTGGTCTCTCTCCGAGAATAATTGTGAATTTAACAGTGGTTACTGCTTGATGAAATTTTCCCACATCTGCAAAGCTCACTGGAAGGACAAAAACCGAGGACAATATTTTCCTGATATAGGGTTTATTACTCAAGTAAGGGTAAAAAAGTATCTGATTAGAAGGCTACTTGAGTACTGAGTATCATCTGATCTAATATTTTTAAATGATGACATCAAACAGACATAAAACAAGAAGTTATGGGCAAATATTGGTATTTTAAAGACTAAAGTGGAAAAATGTAAACAAATAAACAACATAATTACAAAATAACACATTTTAGGCAAAATTTAGACACAAACTGAGGACAATATTTTCCTGATATACAGTTTTTATTTAATTGTGTGAAAATGTAGCACGTAAAAAAAAAATACCGTGATAGTACCGAAAACCGTGGTAATTTTGGTCACAATAACCGTGAGGTTAAATTTTCACACCGTGACAACCCTAATACAGACCATTTTAGATTAGGTTACATTTCCTTTATTCCCAGATTATGTAGTTTGTAGCACTCATTATAATGTAGAAAATTTCTGGCCAATCCACGTGATCGGTATCGGTGATCAGCATTCTTTGATATCGGTATCGGTGATTGGCAGCAAAAAACCTGATCGGTGCATCCCTACACGAGATCAAATATATATAAAAATTTGCTCGCCAGCCCATTTGGCTACAATGACTACAAATCCCATAGTGCTTTGCGGTATTAGCATGTCATTCGAAGCGCCCCCTCCTTTGTTTTTCCAGTCATTAGTGTCTGCTATCATTCGCCGAGCGTTTCGCTGCCAGGAGAGCGGGGAAGGTGGTTATAGTTGCATACAGAACCTTTCGCTTCCATGCTTCTACCGTGAGAGCAGGGTGGGGGGTTTGATTTTGTAGCCGTGGCGCTAGAGTTTCAGCCCCCTATGTGGGGGAAACACTGGGCTTGAACAGGTAAGCATCAGTTAATCAGAGTGGAGCAAACCGAGCTTGAGTTATTGTGTTTTTATGCACTTTTTCTGCTCTGAAAGCTAATAGGTGAGATATTGCATTTTCATTTAAGGTAATTACTTATTTTTTTGTTTAGTTGTTGGCCTGTGGGAAAAAGTTTGGACCACTTTTAAAACGGGAACTGGAAAGATGAATAGAATAGAAATAGACCAGAAAATCCCTTTATTGTCCCTCAGTGGGGAAAGTTTGGTGTCAAATTAGCAATAAAATTACATCAGCAAAAAAGGAGAATTAAATATAAACAAGAAAACGTAAAAAAGAAATACAAACCAATTCAAAAGATTAATAATAAAAACTGGAGGCATAATAAGTAATGAATACCACTGACACGTTTTGTTGAAAATTGACTTGCTCGTGTGCAGTTTGGTTACTCCACATTCAGTGTTACTGCAAAAATAAGTTAGTTTCCAAATGAAAAGGTTCAACAGCATCTGTAGATAAAAGAAAATGTGCACATTTGTATGTCTAAATATTAAAGAGCAAGTAACGCATCGTAAACTAACTTGTTTTTGCTGATAACCTGTAGAGATGAGTGTCTAATGGTGCTGTACACACGTGTAATCATTAGTGTGGCAGTTTAGCGCAACTTACTCTAAATGTAATATTTCAGCCCAAAACCATAATTATATCTCCATCTTCAGGTTAAAAACTGCTCCACATTTATGTAGAACCAGCTGTAGCTGAAAAACGTCACGTTATCCGCAAATAACTACGTGGCTGCACCGCTCTGGTCTCCAGGTGAGGCAGCCGCACCTCCACCCGACTCGGCCACTCACCTGCCGGTTTGACACATTAGCGCTGGCAGCCGCTCGCCTACTGGAAAAAAATGCCCTCCTCCCCCTTTTCATCTAATGATCACGATTGCCCCGTAACAGGAAACCCTTCAGGATGCTGCAGAATCTGTGTTTGCTTTCCTCCTGAGCGGTAAGTCTTGTGTGAGTGTGTGCTTGTGTGCACACGCACGCGCTCGTTAACAACTCCATTTTAGATAGAGAAACTCCAACAGTGCACACGGGGGCGTTGAGGGGGGTGCGGTCTACCGCTGCCTCAGTGCCGCTCTCTCGGTCCACCAGGAGACGCCTCTTTCAGAAGCGTTTTCCTAACAGGAAGTGTGGATGAAATGCGTCTCCACCCATGCCTTGACCCTCACTTAAGTTTGGCCCGCAACTTCGTCCCAGTTTTTTTTTTTTTCTTTTCATTTCGGCCCAGTTTGAGTTTGAGTTCGACACCTCTGCTCCAGAGGCTGAGATGACGTCAGATTGAGCCCACATGAGATCACCGTTTAGCTCCGCCCTCTTAAGCAGCCAGTGGATCACATGGGGAAGAGGAAATTCAGTTCTTTGGTTTTGTGCAGTTTTGCCTCTAGAACGATTTTGTATTTTTAAGATCTTTTTCTTTTTGTGAACAGCTTCTGGAGAAGGCTGAAGCCAGAGAGAGGGAGCGAGAGAAAGAGGAAGCCCGCAAGATGAAAAGAAAAGAAGCTGCTTTCAAGACCATGCTGAAGCAGGCCACGCCGCCTCTGGAGCCGGATGCATCGTGGGAGGAAGTACGTGGTTTCAGTTAGATCACTCTCCATCACATTCACTCGTGATTGGGCCTCGTGTTTAGTGACGAGCGGCATCTGACCCTTTCAGGTCAGAGAAAGATTCCTGAAAGAGTCCGCCTTTGAGGATGTGACGCTGGAGTCGGAGAGGAAGAGGATTTTCAAAGATTTCATGCATGTTCTGGAGGTAAGGTCACCACGATGACATTTGGAACTGATTTATCAGGCCTGATAACGGTGACGATCAGCGGTTTGGTCTGCTTTTTCAGCACGAGTGTCAGCATCACCACTCCAAGACAAAGAAGCATTCAAAGAAGTCCAAGAAGCACCACAGGAAACGATCCCGCTCTCGATCGGTGTGGACCTCACCGGCTACTTTTGTTTTCCTCCTCTTTGGACCTGCTAATCTTTAACCTTCTTATTCATTAGGCTTCAGAGTCTGAGGATGAGGATTACCACAAGAAGAAGAAGAGGTCACAGTCAAAGTCTCCTTCAGAGCGCTCATCGAGTGGAGAATCTGGTGAGTGTTTCTGTTAGCGAATCGCTTTACGGAAGCGTTTGAATTCACCGACACGTTTCTGTCTGAAACTAGAGCGAAGCTATAAAAAATCCAAGAAGCACAAGAAGAAGGGCAAGAAGAGGCGCCACAAGTCTGTAAGTACACAAGCCTTTTGTGGATGTGGTGTTAAAAATTACCCAGCATGCAATTAGCTGATAACCGCAACCAACAGGCATCGCCGGAGTCTGACAGCGAGAAGAAAGGAAGAGACCGTGACGGGAAGCGTGAACGAGATTCAGAGAAGGATAAAGAGAACGACAAGTCTCGGTCTAAATCTCGCACCGAGTCCAAACAGAAGTCTCCTAAAAGAAAAGCAGCCAAAGAGGAGGTGAATTCCCATCATTTAATACGATTTCCAAAAGATTTTGGTAGTTAAAGTCCCACAAACCCGAGAGACTGATTTAGGTTTTCCTGCTCAGGGCGGCTGGGATACATCAGGCAGTGAGCTGAGTGAAGGAGAGCTGGAGAAAAGGAGAAGAACTTTACTGGAACAGCTGGATGCACCTTGATGCTTCTCTTTTTGCTACTTGTACATTTCAACTAAAGCATTCCCTGCATCTGACCGCGCTGTTCACTGAAGACGTCTCTCACTGGTTTTAAGGGGAATGTGCTCATGTACTGATCTTACGCGCTCGGTTCGTCTCATTTGATATCCGGAAGCTCCTCATTTTAAGTATTTCCTATAGTCGGATGTAGTTGTACGTTTCCCATTGCTGATTTTTTTTTTTTTAATTAAAGGCATATCTTAAAGTCACGCTCAGCGTCTTCACCAAATTGTCGTCAAGTAAAGTTATTGAAAGTGGCAGTGTGTAGTTTCCTGGCACTAGGGGGCGGTACATTCATTTCAGGGTAGTTTTCCACCATATCGCCATAGTTTAAAAAAAACCATCAAGGTAAATTTGGTTACCTGTGGAGCAGAAAGCATGCGACCTGTGTCTCTCCTCAGACTTTGATGATCCTTCAGTTAATTCCGTTAAGGGAACGCGATGCTGGGGCTAGTTTTCTGGATCTGCTCGGAGTCCTGCCTGCTGATGTCATACTACGGCAAAACCATTTAGACAAAATATATTGCATGTCTTTTTAGATTCTGTTCTTTAACAAAGGTTTCATTAAGAGTTTAGCAGTTTTGTTTTTAAATCAGTGTTTTTTACTGCTGGAATGTTTTCGAACATGGCAACGTAACTTGCGTAAGTCGTAATTCCAGCCTACGTCTGGTGTGATGTCATCGAGAAGAGCAGGACCCCAAGCCGACCAGTTTAAAATATGGCGTCCCCCAGACACTTAAACCCGTTCCCTATGTACTTTAAACCCGATTTTCATGGTTATGTTACAAAGCCGTCAGTATACTGGACATCATTTTAATCACTTTCAACATTTCGAAGGATGTTTCCAGAGATTAAAGGTAAAAACTACTGATTGTCACTTTAAAAAATCTGATCATGTTTATAAAGTAATAAACAGCTTATAAATCATATCCGTTTAGGCTAATGTCAAAAACTGATTTAAATTTAAAAATGTTTGATTTGGTCTCATTTGCAGAAAAAAGGTTTGACATTTTATAAATTAATGTTTCAAGTATTTAAAGATGCAAAATGTAAGAATTTATGGTCAATCACAAAACAGTCTTGCCACCAAACTTCTTGGTTCCAGAGCTAATCATATTTGAGCTTGTGGGGTTGCCAAGTTTGTACCAACCAACAAAGCAGCCTTGTGTAAAGAATTGAAACCAGTTAAAGGAGCGACCCAGAATTTATTTCTGGTACCCCTAAGAAGCCACGCCATCTTGTTTTTTTTTCTTCTCTTTATCAGGTAAAGAAAGCTAGAAGCTAATGTTGAGTTAACATTGCTAACAATGAATTGGGAAATAAAATAGGCGGCCCAAAATATCTTGAGCTACTTATTCCAATTAACAACTTGATATTACACTGAAAAGTATTTACTTAACTTTCTGTGTATAACTCATCTTTACTCGTTGACTAGGGTCTTCTGGCGCTGATCCCTGGCAATCGTTGCTGAGGAGACTTGGTTTTTATGTGGACTGCAGTACCCACAATTCACCACAAGATGTCATTCTTTAACCTTTTCCGCAGTGTGGTTCTTCAGTTTTTTTCTTTCCCGATTCCAGAATTTCTTTAAAAAAATATTAGTCATATTTATTACAAAATCAAGGACTTCTAGTTGCAAATTATGAGTTACACCACATTGGACTTTAAAATATGCATATTAAACAGCGGAAGAAACTATAGATTTGCTAATATATGAACATAGGAAGCAGTAATATTTAATTTTTGTTTGATAATTTAAAAATTATATGATTTTATTTGTAATCCTCAAAATAGTTCTGTTAGCAAGAACCTGAACGTAAAAATATTGGGTAAAGTGTCACCTACATAAACACAAGTCATTATTCTACAGATGCTAGTGTGTGGCTGCACAAAACAACTTCAAGGACCTCAAATGTCCCCCAGGTCTGCTTTAAGTAATAAATCAAAAGATACCAATAGCTATAGGAATAATACCATTATTCCAATAATAAGGTCACAATTCTACATTCTGTGTAAATAGTTTATGTTTTTGACAATCTTGTATCTAAATGTTTTTCTGAACCGTCAAAAACCAAATGAAACACATTTGTGGTGAGAAAGCAAATGCCAGTATGACCCAGTTCGAAACAAACAAAAATTTTAATGGCAGAACAGGAGGTGTCAGGTTACAGATTTAAAACGTTTCATGGTTAAGAGTGGTTGTTAATGAGAATAAAACGCTCCAGACTACTCCCTCTGACACACACAGACCCTCTGCTTCCTGCATGTTTTTATTAAACATTACTGGAGACTGCTGGCTGCATTTGGCTTCATTAAATATACAAAAAATAAATGAAACAAAAACTATAAGTTAAAATAACATTCATGTAGCGCACAAGGCAATGAAAACTTGTTTAAACAATATGTACAATATTAACCATCTGGTAATAAAAAAACACGGTTTGTAGCAAAATATCTGTACATGAAACTATGCTGTGTTTTGTCACAATAATCGTTTCTGAACATGAGATGAAAAGGTGAGCTTTGACTTGTTTTAGTGGTAAAGTGACAACATATCATCCTGGATCACTACCAAGCTGATAATTAAGTTTTAATGAAGTCACTGTGCATTGTTCCCCAAACTACAAAAAATTAGGAAACAAAACACGCTTAAAAAAATTTATGTAATTGATTAAAAGCCACAATTTTATCTCAAGAAAAATTAAATCACCTGCAATGAAAACAATTCACATTAATCTGGTCCTTTTTTTTTTATAAGTAAAAGTTTTTTTTAAACATACAAATATAGTTTTAAATATTTCTTCATGCCTGTTAATCTCCTTTTAGCACAATAAAAGCCTCGTGAGATGTTTTTTTAAAGGTGCATGTATACTTTTAAGCGGAATGGTCAAGAGCACCGATAACGCGATAATAGTGTCAAATATTAATAAAAAAACATGTAGGAATTTGAACAGCTTCCTGTACATTCTACACTATCATTTCCATGGTAACGCGTTTTCACATGGCTCTTAAGGCCGCTGCATGTCCAGTTTTACACATTTCAACATTAAAGCCAGCTCAAGTTGTATAGCTTTAAGTAGGGTTATAAAAAAATACTAAAATAAGTTCAGGCACTTAGCTTGTCTGAGTTCTTTTTGATTTTCAGACACTTTCAGTTCAGTTCCGTCCACGTCTCAGTCCTTCATCATAAAAAGCCGCTACTATAAAAAAAATCACGTGGATTTGTGTATTCTGGTCCAAACACACTGCATTACTTTCTGTCACTCCATCCTTTCACCACCCCTCCCTCCTTCTGCACGTCCACTGTTCCCTCATCACATGACCACTTCACCATTGTTCACTGGTCGCAGGCTCTGATCATCAAACCGTTTCCTGACGCTCCTCCGCACCGCGTCCGCCCGTCTGTACGGCTGATTTCTTAAATCTGCCAGGGGAGAAGAAGAAGAAAGGGTTGGATAAGGAACGAGGCCAGGGTGTTATCATTAACCCACATGCTCAGGAGTGCTGGTAGCCTAACTTTCAAAGCAGGATGAGGTCTAAACACACACACACACAAACTTGGAATTTCATGCATCTTGTGCGATGCATATGTTTTTAATTTTCAAAATAAAAGCAGAAACTACTGAAGCATTAAGAAGTATTCTAATATTTAAGCACTAGAACAGGAAGTAAATAAAATGCTTGCCAGGTATGGGACACATCCACCACTACAGGCGTGCTACTGGAGGACTTCCTTACCCTCAAGTAGACATTGGGAAATTTAGTAATATTATTCTTCTTTAGTTCTGGATGAAGAAAAGACAAATGAAGGTTACAACCAGCGGCTGGTGCCACATGTTCACGCTGGCTTTGCTGAGCGAGCGCAAAGCAGGAGGCTGCATGTGGAGAAAAGGGCCAGATAAGTGCAAAAGAGGACAGAGCCAAAGGATGTTAACTAGTCCAGCTTCTTTCTTTTATTTTAATTTCTGTAATTAGACCTAAACTGCTTTGTTAAGTGGCTACCAGCAGAACAGAAACCTCCAGTTCAGAGCAACAGTTCAAAAACAACCAACCAACCAGAGCATGCACACAGCGGGGGGAGGACTGATCCGTTAAAGGATTACAAAATAAGATGAACATTCAAGTGAAACATCCTGGGTGGGAGGTTAGTGTCTCTCACACACGCATGGAATGGTGCACCAAGCGAGAAGCAACCCTTCTGCAGGGCACAGGGCTAAATGGAAGAACAGGGGTGCATTGTGGGTAAGCGGTGAGGATGAAGTAACCAGCATGCGAGGAGTTGTGGCAATGAGATGGGATCATAAACACACAAAAAGACACGGAGAAGCAAGTTATAATGCCACAGGCACGTCTTGCATCACACCCGAGGTGCAGCTTGGATTTATTGATGTATCACCAATGAGATGGACGGCCACTAGATGGCAGCACACATCCGGACTTTAGTAATTACATGAGAAATGGCCGCTCACTCTCTCACTAGGTGCTCCTGTGACATCATGATGATAAATGTGGGTGTGACACTTTTCATGCAGGTGGAGAGAAATCCAGAACCCCAAACACTTTTATCATGCTCAAAAAAAAAAAGTGATAACACACAAATGCACATGTATAGGAATGTGTGTGCCTCAACTGCACAGTGATTGTTAAATAGGATAAGTGTGTGGAAGCATGCAGTGGAGGATTGGGGGGGGGGGGGGGGGTAGAAGAGGACATAATGAAAGCAAACATTTTTGCTCCAGCAACCTTTGAGAAGAGAGACAGATCTATAAGCTTTAGTAATGGTACTCCTCATTGAGAGCGGGCTCGCAGAAGAATCGAGAGCCGCGCTTGGCTGTGCGGGCAGTAAAGGGCACGGTCTTCAGCACTGCATCGAGAACGACAGGAAAAACAGCCAGGACAAGGAAAAAAAACAAGACAAACAACGTAAGACAAGCAAAGTCTTCTACAGGGTTAAGAAATGGTTAGCACTAAGCAAATCCCCCAAAATCAGCATCCAGAGGAAAATGCCGGGAGGCTAATTCTGCAACTCCACTTCCCAAAATGTACTTAACAAAAAATAGATATTTGTCAAGCTGGAAAACTGGAACCTGTTTGAAGACTTGGAATTCATGCATAAAGTGTTTAAGTCCCATAATTGTTTTTGGATGCCGACATGCCAAATGCCTCATTTTTCAGCCTAAAAAAAACTAATCATGATTATTTAGGTTATAATAGTTCTATGGTCAATACCAAACATGCTCATAAAGTTCTTTGCACTAAATCGCTCTCACATAAAGAGATTTCAGCTGTTATTCTTGACATTTTAGGTACATCCCAGAATGAGCCGTTCAGGGCTCTGTCGCTGTAAGAAAACAAGCTTGAGCTGGCCACGCCCACCCACCCCATCTGAGAAGCTCCGACATCCAGAAGGGGCTCCGAGTAGAGCTCCTCCTCCAGCAAAAGCTCTCTTCCACGTGAGGTGGTTCTTTTCTAAAATCTCCGTTTGTGACATCACAATCGGGGACTGTTTGAAAAAGCCCGTTTTAGACAACCAACCCCTGACAGAAAATAGATTAGCAGATATTTTTCCACATTTTGAGTGTTTATAGAGGCAGTAGAGACCCACATGGCAGCACAAAAGGATGCAAAAGGTGGGTTTTGCATAATATGTCTTCTTAAAATTTGAATTAAAACAAATCAGATTTTCCTATCATTTAAAAAAAAAAGCTCAAGGAAGTCAAGATTCTTACCAAGATCTACATTTTCTTTGCATTGGGGAAAACATAACTTTATTATTAAACAAGGATCACTCAGCTTAACCTCTGGAAACAATAACAAATTAAATGAAAGACTAATAAAATGGTTTGTTTTACACATTTTAAGAACCTTTTTGTATATTTTTCAAAGTATTTTAATGGAATCTTGTGTATATGTTTAATTCTAGAATGTAGTCATATCCTGGGCCCGTCTACATACTGATGGCATTAAAAAGCAGAGAAGAGGCAGACAAGCAACGATCATCAGGCATGTTTGAGTCAAGCAGAGCTGAATTAGCCGTCAGCGCCTGTTTGCACCACTTTGGTGAATTTTTGGGTTTTTCAGAGCTGAAATTTAAAGGAGCCAAAAGTCAATGTGTTAGTTATTAATTATAGTTCATTAAAAGCTGAATTTACAGCAGAAAGGAACCTTCATGCAGAGCGTGTGTGTGTGGTGTGTGGCCTTCGGGGGTCAAGGCAAAGTTACCCGTGATGATGTCCTCGATGGCGCCGTCTTTGCCCTCGTAGACATGGCGGCTGTCCTTCACCTGTTTCCTCCTGAGCTCTTGGATGAGCTCCTGCTGCTGCCGCTTGTTTTTATGAGAAGGAGACTGAGGGAGACGCTGGATTATCCATCAGTAAACTGACAACTTTGGAGCCGTCGATTACAAGAGAAACGTTTGGAAACGTACCTTCTGGTCCTCCTCCATGGCCTCTTGTTCCAGAAGTTTCTCCATCATAAGCTGCTCCTGCCGTTTCCTTTGCTCGTTGTCTTCCTCCGCTTGCTGAAAAATCACAACGTTGATAGAAAACACTCTGCTGCACAAACTCAGATATGACAGCAGTATTTTGACTTTTTTACAGTTAAATCATCACTGAGGTCATTTGGAGACATCAAGAAGTACATTTACAGCACTAAGTAAACAATTAAAATGAAGAGATTTAAAAAAAAAATACTAAAATTATAACAACACTAAGGAGTTTTTAACACTTTAAGCTACTGATTTCCAAGGTAGGTTTCAGTGGTTCTTGAGGCAGAAGCGTCACCAACTTCACAGCACTCTGCAGCCTTCTGCTGACCGGAAAAAGCACTGAACTGTTTGGTGGAGGCGAGTAGGTTCACTAGTTGGTGTGCTCTACCCACTTTACAGCAGTCAGCTGTTTATTATGCTGATAGCTAAGTTAAAGGCTAACATTTCAGTTGACCGACAATTAAAAAAAAGCACAAGAAGAAGAAAAAGAAGATTTTTGCTTTTTTGTTAGCATCTAGGCAGTCTGGAAGTTAAAGTAATGTCTTTGGAGGTGAAGCAACAAGCTAAAACCAGAGTGAACATCAGTGTGGCCTACACTCATGAAATCATGGACTGATGATGACCTGGCTTTGTTGCTGCTGGACATTTATAATATTTTTTCCAACAGTGTGGATCTCAGGCTTATTTTAGCATTAGTTGGCTCACGTTAGCATTAGCTCATTGTTGGCGCTAGCTACAGCAGGCTGCAGCAGGGTTGTTTACACTAGTTGTAATTCAGCTTTTCAACCAGTAGGGGAAATTCTACCAAGAGGAAAATCTTTAGTGTTGCTTTAAGGACCTTACAAAGCTCTGGTATTACACTTAATTTCCGACTTTCTGATAATCATAACCTACGTAAAATCCATCTAAAGCTGCCCAAGTGTGTGTGTGTGTGTGTGTGTGTGTGTGTGTGTGTGTGTGTGTGTGTGTGTGTGTGTGTGTGTGTGTGTGTGTGTGTGTGTGTGTGTGTGTGTGTGTGTGTGTGTGTGTGTGTGTGTGTGTGTGTGTTTTAAATCAACTCACCCTGTAGGCCTTAACAAAGCGCACAAATACAGGGAAGAAAACAGACGGCGGCGTGGTTTTAGAGTTCTCCCCAAAGAATTTCACCGCCTCGTCAAAAGCGTCCTTTTAAAAGTAAAAAAAAACATCATATTTATCTAAGAAAGCCTTCAGGTGTGACTTGTTTTCCTCCAGTTTTACCTGCGCGATCTTGGCATCATCCTGCAGCTTCTTCAGCTTGTTCTCGTTGTGTGCGATGAAGTCTTTGAGCATGGTGTTGTGGCCGTGCATGCTGTACTCTCTTTTGGTCAGCTCCATGCCTCTCTGCAGCTCCTTCACATCCAGCAGGACGTTCTCAAGCGACACTGTGGACACGGAGAGACGTGACTCACGTTGCAAGAGGTGGAACGATTATTCAAACAGGCTTCCGACGTCCATTTCCCCACCTGCAGCTGCTTTTTCAACATAGTGCAATTCGTTGTGGAAGATAGACACTTGTGGGTATTTCTCCTTCACTACGTTGGCGATGTAGTGCAGCAGAGTTAACTTGCGGTCCGTTGACTTGGTGTCAAGCAGCTGTGGAGAAAAAAGGAGAAAAACATTCAGCGGTGCTGTGTGGTTCAGTTTTAAAGGCAAAAAAAAAAAGCAACTCACCAGATCTAAACTCTGCAGCTTGAATCCGTACACGGCGCCTCTTTTACTGCTGTTCATGTAGTTTCCAAGCGCCAGGATAATCTAGAATAACAAAAAGAAAAGTCTTAGGGATGGGCGATATGATCTCAAATCTATATTACGATATAATCTGAGCACAATATATATTGCGATATATTGTTTTCTTCAGTCTATATATGTCAAAATAACCATCACTGAGCATTCTCACAAAGCAGAGACATTAAAGCAGATCCAAGACTTCTAAAATGTATCGGACTCCTTTTAAAGAACATTTTAAGGAGAATTAGGCAGTTTTGGCTTGCTTTAGCACCCCCTAGTGTCCATTAGTAGAACCAATAGCAAAAACCTATCTTCTTGCTGTTGGTTTGTCTTCTTAACACCTTAATCTAACAGCTGAAATGTCTCCCCAGTCTTCATTAGTGTCTACATGAGTGATTCATCACTAAATTAAACAAATCGCGATCTAAAACATTCAGGAAACATGCTGGAACCAGACTGCAGCATCAGGTATGCCAGCTCGATTTTTCCAACAGACCGGTCCGGCAATTGTGAAGTTGCAAATGCGGTATTCCGACCACAGGGAGCGATAGGGGCTGGGTGGCCTTTCAATAATCCTGAGTGTTTCTCAATGCCAAGGAACCTTGATGTCTTGGTCCCGCCCCGGTAGCCTAGGAGATGCGTCTGTTCTCTGTTTATTAGCCGTTTAGCTAGCTGAGCAAGGATACATGGGAGGTGTCTTGTAGCCTGGCCTTGGTCAAAAATTTCACAGAAAACATCGCAGTATTTTCAAAAGGATGGCAGCTCAGGAGCCGGCAACTACTTCGGGGGCAAATTTCAAGTTTAAATGTAAGTCAACTGGCTAGCAGGTAGTTACTCGCTTACAAATTTAATTTAACCAAAAAAGTAAAAGGCTCGTTATATATTCATATTGAAACTTATACGTATAAAATATAACATTACCTAAAATATCACGTATCACGAGATGTAAATCTGTTCCATTTAACCGCTTTCTTGGACCAAGGCACCTACTTACCTTTTGCATCCTTCATCTTCATGTTATTATAACATGAAGATGAAGATATTTTGAATAAAATACAAGCCACATGTGATCGTTACAGCTACCAGCCTGGCCATTGGGATGCAGGAGCCAAGATCACCCAGCCCTGGCGACCAAGCCTGACCCCCCCCCCCAAATCAATGGCCTGCTTTTAAAAATTGATCCAGTATAACACAAAATAATGTGATGTCAGGTGTGTCAATATTTTCTTACATCTCTATTTTCAACTGAAGTGCAAATAAGTAAAAATAGAAATACTTCTTTCATTTGTCATGTTTTCATTTGCTCATAGAAGTGAAGTGTTGCTTCAGTGGTGAATAACTGCACGTAAACTGATTTTCTGCTTTCTTTGTTGACGCAGCTTGATAAAACTCAACGTGTGCAATCACGGTAGACAAGTACGGTCAAAATCTGTACCGTTGGCTACATTTAGATAATCAGTGTGCTCTTTATATGTTACATCACCATCAGAAAAGTGTTTAACACGATGCAGTGTTGTTTAGTTACCTCTAAAATCTTCTTTAGCTTCTGGGACGCTTTGATGGAGATGGACGCAGCGATGACGGCATGCAGTTGCTGCAAAGAATTAAACATCAGAATACCTTTTCTCCTGGGTCATAAATATAAACAAGCCTCTTTAATTACCGGCATCAGCATCTGCACGCTTTCGCTGAAGTTTCCGACAAAGGCCATGATGGTCATTTTCTGCATGAGCCGCTCGATCTTGCTGAACTGCATCATGAAGCGGTCCTCGTCCGTCAGGCTTTCCAGAGGCTTCCGCTCCTTCTCGAACTGTCGCAGGACTTTGATCTCATTCTCCGTGGGCTGGAAGCGCATCAGGCACTCCACGAAGTCCACCGGCAGAGTCCGGAGGTCGAACCTGGGAGGGCAGAGGTCGGAGGTAAAGTACACATTAAGTCAGTGTTTAGTTTTGTTTTTTGAAATACTTACATCTGAATGGCCTTGCAGATCTCTTCAGAGGTCTTCCCTACTTTCCTCAGTGTGATGGCCAGGTTCTTGGCCCTGTTGGAGTCCAGCAGAGTCACCTTGTTGGGTCCCTTCTGGATGACCTTCTGCTTGCTCATAGTGAGCTCAATCGATGGACCCTGAGCTTTAGTCTTAAACATCTCTTCAAATTCATCAACGTTTAGATCCTAAACACAACAAAGGTGCTTTTTTAATGCCGAAACAGTAGGATTAATGTTGCTACTACCAACTGGGAGGAGAGTTGTACCTCGAGGATTCTCTCATCGTCGATCTCATTGAAGACAGTCCCGTTGATCTGGTTTGGTTTCAGGGCTACCCAGTTGAAGACGGGCATACGGAACTTAGTCTTGATTGGCTTCTTGATCTTCACAGCTGCACCAAACATAAAACATGAGTACATAATACTAAAGTAACGTTGGAGTTCTTAAAATCAGATATCCGGGCACATGCAGTGGGACGGGGAGGTGGACCACTGGAACTAGAAACATCTAAAATCTAAAAACAGGATGGACCAACTGCAGAGTTCTGAGCCGATTCTGATTTTTGAAAAAGGTCGGCGTATTTTAACTGAAAACTACAACTTAAAGCACTTTTTTTATTTATAGTTGAACTAAACATTAAAATAAAACCATACTTTTGTTCCCCCCCCGAAATAGAAATCTAAAATGAAAATACCCGAGGATTGTGAGCAGAACAGACGTACGTACCTCAAAAGGATTCAAATGGGCTCTTTTTTAACTAGACATGTTTATATTATGGCTCTTTGATCTTTTTTGTTTAATTTTCCATTTTATTTAAAATTCAAGTCGTTTTATTGCTTAGGTGAACGACAGCTTTGGTGCATTTTTAGACCTGGAGAAAAAAAAAACGCTCAATCCGGGTCACCCAGCGGGGCATCACTTCTCAAAAAAATTCTTTTCAATTTCATTTTGAAGACTTTACATTTCCAAAATGCTTTCCACTGACCACACTTAACTGTCTCAAGCAAAACTAAAAGGATGAGTCATACCCTCAGCTTCCTGCCAGGAAAACGAGGCCAAAGGACATACCCGTTCAGTCACCGGTGCATCCGTTGAGGATTACCTGCCAGGCCTGAGGCCAAACTATTTATTGGGCAGATTAAAGCTATTTGTGGCCAGCAGATCTGCTTCATTGAAGCTGGAAGTTAAGGTGGCACCCTGCTTTGGCCCACAGACAAGGTGTGAGGAGGGCCACAGAGATAAGGCTGTCATGGGAAAGGTAAACAGCATTCCAGCTCTGCACAATTTCTATCACTTTAATCACCTGCGTGCCACAGCAGGTCACCGTGTCTCAGCATGCAACCGACACTTGTGAACACAAAATCCACAACACTACAGCAAGGTGCGAAGGAAAACCATGCAAACGTTTTAAATGTGGTGTTTTATTTCTCATAATTACCATGTACTGAGTTCACAGCAGCTCTGGTTTCTGAGGATTTTTAGACTGTGCCTTCAAAAGCTGGCACAGTCATGGGAAGTGTAAGACTGCAGTAATCTGAGATTGTCTGGTAGATAACAGACTGGAAATATCACAGTGTTGGTTTACCACGGTACACACTTTTAGGGAATAAAACAAGATGACGCCCGACAGGTGATCAAAGACAGAAAAATCCAATGAATGTGTCGTTATTTAAACCTTATTGTAAAAAAACTAATATGTATTTATACGATTTTATTCAAATATACTGCTGATCAAGGTAATTGTACAGTGAAAAATGATAGCTGTGGCCATTTTGGTCCATTTTTTGAAAATATCACACCATCTCACAAGACCTTCTACGGCCAGCTCATATTTTGTGTGTACTGCTACGTAAACGTGAATAATTTCTGAGTTTTATTAAAATATCTCCAATGGTTTGTAAGATATTATGAAGCAAAAATTACCCAAAAATATATAATCATCTTTAAAACGACCACATTTAAAACCTATTGTAAACTGGGAGAGGGGGGGGGGGGGCAACATCAAACATAACAGCAAGAACCTACAGAAAAGTTTGATGGGTCCCTCTGGTTGGCAGAGAAAGAACACAATTAGGACAAAGTTATTACAAATAAGCCAGAATATGTAAGGATGACTCACAGGCATCCTTTCATGAACAACTGGTACTTGTGTACCTGGTTACTGAACAGAAACGCGTCACCAGGTCGAGACGGGTTGTTTCTGATTAAAGACGATTTTCACCACATTATCGTAAAACGCGTCGTCGGTAGGAAGCCTCACCTGCTAAGCCCGAGTTCATGATCACCGTGGGCGTCCCACATCCGGGCAGCGGCGGTGCCATGGGAGGAGGCGGAGGAGGGAGAGGGCCCGATATCGATGAGGCCAGACCTAGAGGTGGAGGGGGAGGTGGCGGGGGTGGAGGGGGAGGAGGAGGTGGAGGTGGAGGAGCAGCTGCTGGAATGTCCAACGATGGACCGTTTGGCACTGAAGAATGAGAAAGGAAAGGAGGAGGAAAATTTAAATCAAAAATACGCTTGATGTAGAAAATTAAAAAATAAACCTACGTGTTCCATATCCTGGTAGAGGGGGGGGTGGAGGAGGTGGTGGTGGTAAGACATCCATCCCTCCTATGTGGTTCTGTCCGACAGTCGCGCCGCTTCCCCCCAGCACGATCCCCGGCAAACCCTCCACACCGGACGGAGACGACGGCAGGATGGAGATGTCGCCGTCTCCCTTCTTGTGGATCTTGATGGTACCCTGCTTCTCCAGCTCATGGATCTTCTTCTCCAGTTTGCTCTGACGCTGGATGGCCTCATCTTTCTCCTTCAGCAGCTGCCGCAGCGAGTGTACCGTCATGGTGGTCTCTTTGTAGGCTTCCTGTGTAGGATTGAGACGGCATAAGAAAGTCTAAGGAGCTTTGAAAGAAAAGCGTCTGGACTTCTTTGAGTTCCTTGAAGACGTTTCACCTCTCATCCGAGAGGCTTCTTCAGTTCTAAGGTCAAATGGTGGAGAGTCCCAGATTCAAACCCAGTGGGAGTTTCCCCCCAAAGAGGGAACAAAAGACCCCCTGATGATCTTCTACATAAACACATGAGCCAAGGTGTGAGGGTGGGTCCTATTCAGCCAGAGTTTCGGGTGAGCTCATTGTGAAGCCTGGCCCCACCCTATCATGTGAATTCCTGAGGTCAGATGGCCCAGGATATGCGTGGGCGTTGAGGCATCTGGGAAGGGATCTCAAAACTGGATTATAGATGGCAGACAGTTGGTGTCGTAAACCACCGCCTCTGTTCAAAGATGGTTGCTCACAGTGGACATAAATGGCTTCCTTCACTCCTCTTTCAAACCATCTGTCCTCTCTGTCCAAAATGTGAACGTTGGCATCCTTGAAAGAGTGATCTTTGTCCTTTAGATGCAAATGAACTGCTGAGTCCTGTCCCGTGGAGGTGGCTCTTCTATGTTGTGCCATGCGCTTGTGAAGTGGCTGTTTGGTTTCTCCGATGTAGAGGTCTGGGCATTCCTCGCTGCACTGTACAGCATACACCACATTGTTCAGTTTGTCTTTAGGAGTCTTGTCTTTCGGGCGAACCAGTTTCTGTCTGTGTGTGTTGCTGGGCCTGAAGTACACTGGTATGTTGTGTTTGGAGAAAACCCTCCTGAGTTTCTCTGATACACCAGCTACATAGGGGATGACCAGGTTGTTGCGTCTGTCTTTCTTATCCTCCCTCGCTGGTGTCTGGTCTTCTTTTCTTTGCATCTTTGCTGACTTTATAAACGCCCAATTAGGATAGCCACATGTTTTAAGTGATTCCTTTATATGTGTGTGTTCCTTCTTTTTCCCTTCCGGCTTAGAGGGAACATGTTCTGCCCGGTGGTGTAGGGTCTTGATTACTCCAAGTTTGTGTTCCAGAGGGTGATGTGAGTCGAAGAGGAGGTACTGGTCCGTGTGCGTGGGCTTCCGGTACACTTCAATGTTGAGGTTGCCATTTTCTTCAAAGTGCACAGCGCGGTCCAGGAAAGGCAAGCAGTTGTCCTTTATGTTTTCCCTGGTGAACTTGATGTTTTTGTCAATGGCGTTGATGTGCGTAGTGAAGGATTCCACTTCTTGTGTTTTGATTTTGACCCAGGTGTCATCCACATATCTGTACCAGTGGCTCGGTGCTCTTCCTTTAAAAGAGCCAAGGGCCTTTCTTTCCACTTCCTCCATGTAAAGGTTGGCTACAATAGGTGCCACGGGGGAGCCTATGGCGAAGCCATGTTTTTGTCTGTAGAAACCTTCGTTGTATTTGAAATATGTAGTGGTGAGGCAGAGGTCTAACAGTGTGCAAATCTGATCGGGTGTGAAGTTGGTTCTGTCCTCCAAGGTGCTGTCTTCTTGTAGTTGTTTTCTGACAGTCTCCACTGCCTCCGTAGTGGGTATGCAAGTGAAGAGGGAGACTACGTCAAAGGACACCATGGTTTATCTGGATCCAGGGTAAGTTTCTGTACCTTGTCAGTGAAGTCGGTGGAGTTCTTGATGTGGTGTGGGGTGTTCCCCACCAGAGGTGCAAGGATGGTAGCAAGGTGTTTCGTGATGTTGTAGGTGACTGAATTTATGCTACTGACAATGGGTCTGAGAGGGATACCTTCCTTGTGGATCTTGGGAAGTCCGTAGATGCAGGGTATGGCATCTCCTGGATAAAGGCAGTGATATGTCAGGCGGTTGATGGTTTGGTCCCTTTCAAGGCCTTGAAGGCAAGCTATAACTTTCTTTTTGTAGCTGCTTGTGGGGTCTCGCTTTAAGGCTTTGTAGGTGTTGTTGTCACTGAGGAGAGTAGTGATCTTTGCGTGGTAATCCGTTGTGTTTAGGACCACGGTGCACCTTCCCTTATCAGCTGGCAATATAGTGATGGTGTGGTCTTTGCTCAGTGATGCGACTGCCTTCTTTTCTTGTAACGTGAGGTTAGGCGGAGGGACTTTGGCACTGGAGAGGGTGGCTGAGACTTTCATCCTGATCTGTTCTGCTTCTGTCTGAGACAATTTGTTGATCCGTATGGCAGTTTCAGTGGCTGTGATGAGGTCCATTATGGGCAACTGTTGCGGAGCAATGGCAACATTGAGTCCTTTGGCTAATACGTTCATTTCAGGTTCAGTGAGGTTCCGGTCTGAAAAGTTCTTCACCCATTTTCTTCGACTGTCCTCCAGTGTATGTTCTTCTCTGAGTTGTGTAGATTCAGACTGAGGAGTGAGTGTTTTTGAAAGCAGGGTGTGGAATTTCCTGCATTGTCTTTCTTTTCCTTTGGAGTGTTGGGCCCGCTGAGCCTTCTCCACAAACTTGTAAACCTCTTCTAAGATTGGAGAGGGTAGAAGGGTTTCCAGTTCCTGCAGAGTCTGGCTAATCTTGCTTTGGAGGGCATCTATAGTGAAATGGACCTGTCTTATCCTTTCACTTAGAAGCTGATTTTGTGCTCTTCGTAGAATTAAGTCCGCTCTGTGTCCTCTGACAGTGGATCCTAGGCACAGGCTTAGGAACAACTCTGCTTTGTCTGCATCTCAGGTTGAAACGGAGGTGGTTCCTGTAATCCACTAGTTTTCTAGATTCCCTTTCATATTCCCGCACCAGTTGAAGGGTGTTCCTCCCAAAATGTACGGCAATATGGTCCTATTCAGCCGAAACTCTGGCTGAATAGGACCCACACCCACCCTCACACCTTGGCTCATGTGTTTATGTAGAAGATCATCAGGGGGTCTTTTGTTCCCTCTTCGGGGGGAAACTCCCACTGGGTTTGAATCTGGGACTCTCCACCATTTGACCTTAGAACTGAAGAAGCCTCTCGGATGAGAGGTGAAACGTCTTCAAGTAACTCAAAGAAGTCCAGACGCTTTTCTTTCAAAGCTCCTTAGACTACAATGACCTGGATGACTGAGAACCTTCACAGACACGGCATAAGAAACCACAACCAATCATTAAAATCAGTCTGCAGAGAGCAGCTCTGACCTTGATGGATTCAAGGTCCTTGTTCCTTTGCATCAGATGCTTCTCCAGCTCCACGATTTTAGCCATGGCTTCGTTCTCCGTATCCTGCAGCTTCTCCGTCATCTACAACATCCAAAAGGAAAAGGTCACATGATGGAACTTTTTTCAACATTTGATTTAACATGGGGTCCATTTAAGGCCTCTCACGTGGGACAAGTTCTCCTCCAGCTCCTCCACCCGCTCCAGAGCAGCATTTTTGGTCTCTGCATCCTCCAGCAGGGCTCCCACGTCAAACACATTATCCAAGTAGGCCTGGATCTGGACCTGGAGCTTATCGCTCTCAGTGTGTTTGAGTTTCTGGAAAACACACTTAAAAGGTGAGCAATCGCACCTCTGCAGGAAATGGGGATCTACGCTATTTGAAGTCACAGAAAATCATAATCGACCGCCTTTCTATGGAAACAATCTGAGGAGGAGGGTGCCATAATGACAGTGACTGATTATTTGTACTGCAGAAGTGCACATCAGTCAACCGGTATGATAAAACAAAGTCACTTGCAAAGTGGAATGTGACAAACACACACACACGCACGCACGCACGCACGCACACACACACACACACACACACACACGTGTCAATTGCATTACTTTGTGACTGTTAGGAGTCAAAATGCTGATTTCATTAGTTGGAATCCTCTAATTTCAACTCACATCTAGATAGTCGTCCAAATGCAGCTTGGTGAAGTCATACTGGAGGTGAACTCTGAAGTTCATGTCCTCCACCGAGTGAACAACTATATTGATGAACTGCATGCATGCAACCTGGAGAAAAAGGAACCGGATGAAGTCAGAAGAGAAGAAACAACATGCACAGAAAATCTTCTGTGTGCAGCTGAAGATTTAATCACTTTTGCTTAAATCTTTTGTTAAATCTTGTTTTTTTTTTTCATTTTAATTTTAATTTCCTAGAAAAATGTTTTTGTTTTGTGATCACCATTTCATCTACATAGGAGTTATTGCTTTCTAATTTAGACTGGATCCTTATGAAGTACGATTGAATGCATTCATGTCTGAAGTATTTTTGGGTTAAAACAACATGACGCCTGCAGTCCTGGTCAAAAACACTTGAATTTGCACCTCGTCTGTGTCGTGTTTGCTCCCTCTGCACCGGTCCCACCCATCAATCTCAATTCTCAAAACTCTGGAAACTGTGAATTATTAACAGGGAACCTGTTTGGTCTCAAAAAGCTTCACAAGTCATTTCCAGTCTGCTGAGGGGACTTGGGGGAGGGTTTCATTAGTCATTGGGAGTTTGGATGAACACACCATGAAGTCAATGTTGTTGTCCTCATTTTTGAAGTACTCCATCAGCTTCTCAAAGCGCTGGGACTCCATGCAAACCTGCAAAACAAACCACTTACTCAGAGCAGAAAAGATGTACGAGTCTGTCATTTACATAAAAATTACAAAATGCAAAGTGATTTTTTTTTCTACTGGCTCGTGTGCTTCACTGAACCCTGTATGATGTATTATCACAGTGTTTGCTGATAGAAATCACTGTGAATGCTGTTTACCTTTTTTAATTATTCAGCCACTGCTGATAAAACCAAACTGCTCCTGCCTTTAGGTTCATTTATGGTGAAACTGAATACTAGCGTGGGGGTTAAAGATGTACTGCAGACAAGTCACTGAGAGGTCAGAGTATAATAAAGAATTTAGAGGTATTAGGAGGCACGTTCATCCCAAAACCTCAAACATCTGCCTGCAGCTCCTTCTTCAAGTAAAGATTACTCGTAAATATAACTCCTCACATGCTTCCTGCAGTTTATGGTATCAGCATCAGTTCTCTGCCTCCATCTCATTAGATTAGCTCTGCTCATGCTAAGCCTCATTCTCCCACTAATGCCAGTGTAGTTGAGAGCAACACTCAATATTTCATTCAAGGGTGTAAATATTACATAAACTGCTGTTTTTGAGCTACAAAATGAGGCCGCGCTGTTAGCTCATACTACACCTCATCCACGCAGGAGAAGGTCAAGAAAGGCTATCTGTTACATCTGCCTCTGCTTTTTTTCAGCTTTGATGCCCTGACAAATCTCCTTAGCATACATGCAACTGTTGTCTCTGATGACAGCACAGGTCACTCTGTGTTACAGTGCTGAAATGGTGTCTCTAATCTGCTGGCAAAAGAGCTAATTCCTGCATGCGATTCCCTTTGAAGCAGCGAGGAATCTGCTCAGGAAGCATTCCTAAGGGGCTGAGTCATCGTCTGAAGCCGCACGGTCTGGAATGTAAAAGAAAAAAAAAAGACAATGGTCCCCAAAGACCCCCTCTTTCACCTTTCCCTGCAGGTCGTACCTCCTTAAAGTTGTCGAACGCGGAGAGAATTATTTCGTGGCCTCCTCTGACGAGACAAACTGCCGCCAGCAGCTCCAAAACCAGAGCTTTAGTTCTGCAAACCGCAGAGAAAGTAAGAGCAGGAATGGTTAGGAAACGACAAGTAGCAGCGCTGCTGAAAACCTATACTTAAACACAGAGCTCAGCAAGGAGACGGAAAAGTGATTTAATGTCACGTCACCACTGAAAAATCGATGCAGAACGGTAATTACACCATCTATTACAGATTTATAAGTATGCTTTAAAAAATTCAAATAAAAGATGAACTTATGTGCAAAATGGAACCCTGTATTAATAATACGTGTGTGTGTGTGTGTGTGTGTGTGTGTGTGTGTGTGTGTGTGTGTGTGTGTATGTTCCACTTCATCGACTCAACATTTTTCAGCCCAGATGAAATGAAATGTGACAGGTCATGTAAAGTGGTTCCACATCCACTTTTCAGGACACCCTTTAACCTTTGGGCATGTGTGTGTGAAACACACACACACACACACACCAGAGTGGTTCTGGTAGCAGCCGGTCTTGTTGTGACAGAGTGAGCCGGCGGTGCTTTTAGCCGTCCCGTCTGAGCGACCTAGTCTCAGCATCAGACTTCAGACGCACTCAGACTGTATTTTTTTTTACTTTTAACACAAAAGTGATCAGAGGCTTGAGCTTACCTCGGGTTTTTATTGTTGAGACTTAGTGCAATTTCATTCACAGCGTGAGGGTGTGACATGACCATGTTGAAGCCATACTGGGGGAGTAATGGGAGACAAATATGGTAATTAGCAGAAAAGAAGAGGTCGTTCTGAATTCTCCCACATAATAAATAAACCACGGTGAGCCAGCAGTGGAGAAAATTGAATTTGGCTTCAGATAGATGGTTGTGCTTTGTCGCAAAAAGGTCACTGTCGAGTTGATGCCCCCTGCAGAGTACAGAGCGCTCACCTGGTAGTTCATGATGGCACGTAGGCACATGATGCAGACGTGAACGTCATCCTTCTTGCAGATCAGTCTGGAGTTCTTTAGCGTTCTCCGGCTTGGCAGTGTGTTGCTTCTATTAAGATAAAAAATAAATTTAGGTTATGCTTTCGGGAATGAAGCATTAAGTAAGCAGGAGTGTGCATTTCCAGTAAACACGTTCTGGGACTTTTCAGGTAAAAGGCAAAGGGGAAAATCAGACGGTTTGGTCCTTTCAAAATCTATCCCTAAAGGACTCTGCTAAGACGTTAGCATATTGCGACCGTGAGTGACATCACTGATAAGCACCAAAGGGCGTCCACGACTACTGCCGGAGTTTAACAGACATTAATTCTGAGAAAGTACGCATTATTGTCCGCCGCTCAGCGGAAATGCAAGAGAGCAGCTGTGTGACATGCTAAAGCGGTGACCGATGAGCAGAATAAATGTGGTTTTTTACAGAGATCACAAAGCAGTGTGAATTTAAGGGATTTCCACAGAATTTGTTGCGTTGCGAGTTTAGAAACTGCGATTTTAACGTCGCCCCTTAACCAGACGCATTAGAAAGTGGTGTTTCACTAAGACTTTAAGGCTTACCATAATGCAGACCTAAATGAAAGAAGACTTCTGGTCATAGCTTTTCTTAAAAAGGGACATAATACAACTTTTTCTTCTGGTTATAATAGTACTATGAACATGTTTATGATGATATTTGGACTACATCCCTCCCACATTAAGCAAGGTCAGCAGTTTTTGAAAATTTCAGTACCTTCCAGAATGAGACCTGTCACGGCTCTGTCAAGAAAAAAAGCTGGAGTTGGCCACGCCCCCCACCCCCCCCGCTCTGGCTGCTATAAGCTGAGAAGCTCTGATATCTGAGAGCAGCTCAGAGCAGGGCCACTGCTCCTCCAGCGTGTGAAGGGTGGTTCTATTGTACTTTTCCTATTTGTGATGTCACAAATGGGGATTTTTTTTAATTGCTTGTTTTAGGCCAAAAAATTCCTAAAACCAAACACTGACAGAAAACAAATGGATGGATTTTTTAAAGTCTGGAGTGTTTATAGAGGCTGTAAAGACCTACATGGCAGCACAAAAGGATGCAAAAACAATTTAACCGATTTTACAAACTGTGGTTGTTTGGTGACTTCTGTCGACACCTTTTCCAACGGACTTACAACCAATCAGCACAAGTACCACCGGGCAGCTGAACCAGACCTTTTCCCAGTTCAAATCCTAAGGCAGGTACTTGTTTAGTTGCTGAAATATCCCAGGAAAGTCTTCCTTTTGCCCAAAAGTTCCGATACTGGAAACAGCAGGACATTTTGGCTTTGGATTCAGATTTGACCAACATTAGTACCCCAAACAAACTCTACCTTATCTACAGCCATGTAAATTGGCTTTGTTAATTGCTTTAGTTCAGCAGCAGCCCTCACAAAGAGAGTGAACAATAGACATCTACATGCAGTGTTGGTTCTGCAGTTTAAAAAAAAAAGGCGGAAGACGAAACACTGATCCAGCACTAAACTGTTTATTTTTACATCGTCGTCACGAGGTTCATTTATGAGTCTGAGTCGTGTGGAAAAGAACCGAGGCTCCAGGCTACAGATAGACATGCCGGTTCCTGCCAGCTTCCTCGCTAATGGGCGTGACATCTTAGTGAGTCACAAGTGTGCGTCTGGGGGGCGTGTGTGTGTCTTAAGAATTACAAAGTCACATTTAAATTCACGTCAGCATTAAAATTAAGACATTTAATTGTTGGTGCATAAAACAATCCCGTATGGCTGTGAGTAAAACGAGCCGTCGAAAACGGTTTCAGACAGAAATGAAGCAAGCCGCCTCCCAGGGATGTGAAAATAATCTCAGGCGACTTCTTTCCAGGGTTTTTCTCCTCCGAATGAATCAACATTCAAATTAGGCTGCAGCAGAAATAAGTAGAAGGAGCACAAAGTTCATTTTATATTAAACAGCTGATATGATTGCATAACCTTGGCCTGAATCAGTGTTTTAACATTCTGATAGAAGACGTGATGACAACTGTGTCTTTTACAAATGGAGTCTATAATACACACAAACACTGGAGCTAAAACTACAGGCTATAAGGTGCAGGACTAACACATCTACTGTCTAACTCTTGGACATACCGTCTCATTTGGGAACAGTTGGGACAGCTCGGCGTGCTCAGTGTCCTTTGAGATGGCAGTTTGAAGAGGACACAGAGGTGAAACTTAGCTTGGCTCCAAGAAATTGTCTGTTTTTGTGTTTTCTGTGGTTAAAAGCCACATAAAAAAGCACAAAGGGAAACAAATTCTGTATAATGGAAATTAACGATTACAAATCCTGGAGTAGGGATGCACAATATGTCGGTATCAATAAGGTCCGATAAGTAAAACTGGGCCGGTATCAACAACTGATAATTTTTCCGTCTTGTTTCCGTTTGTGTATCAGAGGGTAAAGCTTGGTTTATGCTTGACGCATTCACTTTCCGCGCGGTGATGCGGCTCGCGGCTGGAACGCGCTTCACAACTCGCAGCGTTTATGGTTTGTGCGGCTCGTCTCTGCGGTGAGCCAATATTCTCCCAAACTGAACGGGGCAGCATGGAGCTCTACGGCATGCATCCAACACTACACCGTAGTAGAAGTAGAAATTACTGTTTACAACATGGCATTTCAGCATTTTTAACAGCGTCCTCGTCTTTTCCGACAGTGCGAGTTATTTCTCTCCAAGAATTATTAACAACATGTTGATCACGGTGATCTCTGAGAGCTGAATCATACAAATGTCTGTATTTACGAACCTCTGCCATACTAGTTCTTGCCGGTCCGCCGTGTTTTTCCGCGTCCGTCTGTCCGTGTGGTTAGAAATTTTCCGAGGTGCGCGTTGCAGAAATTCTGGGCCGTGCGGAGGCGAGGTGGAGGGGCGTGGTTGTTAAAATGACGCAACTTTTCCGCGCGGAGCCATGCGGACCTCGCGGACGCGTCAAGCATAAACCAACCTTAAGGGGTGATGATGTGTAATGGTTTAGTTCTGTGACAGAGATGGTAATAATCTCAGAAGCATACATGTGTGCGTGTGTGTGTGCGTGCGTGCGTGCATGCGTGTGTGTGGGTGTAACATATTGCAAATTCCACTTTATAGAAATAAGGTAAAACATTCACAAAATCTGCTTGCATTATTTTCAGTCTATATAAAATTTTCTGGTTTCAGAAGTGTGAATCGGTAGCGGCAAATATTGGTTATCGGCCATGACAGCGATATTAATATCGGATGTCGATATCGGCTCAAACGCTTAATTTCGGTGCATCCCTCCCCATCCTGGAAGTACTATTTTAGATTCATGTTGGCGTTTGATTTTTAATGGATCCGTTGGAGAATCTATGCTAGCTTCTGCACAGAAAGGCATTTAGGGAGCCACACAGAAACAGGCGGGAACAATGAGTGCAGAAAAAGCCGTTTGCTCCAAGGGAAGGAGAATTCAGTCCCAGGGGCAGGCTGGCAGAGCGAATAATTCACATCGCTGACACAGACAGCAGGACAAATAGACTGGGCAGCTCTAGCAGGGAGACATAAAGTACAATGAGGCAGTGGGTGGTGGTGGAGGGACTGTGTATGAGAATGCATGTGTGAGGGCTGGCCTGTTGCATTATGCGTGTGTCTTAGGAGAGATGCTAGAAACTGTGGTAGAAGCAGCCAAGCGGAGCTGCGACCTGCCTGCTGTTGAAGAGTGGCAGACAAAAGAGCCGAAGACTATGGGTGAAGACGGGGGACAAAACAGAAGAGACGGTCACTGAACATTACACAAGAATAACAGCCAAAACTAATCGATTTATAGGTGAAACTCTCCCCAACGGAAGCAGAAAAGCTGGAAATGACATTAAAGAGGTGCAGAAATGTCAATGCTCATTGTCAACGGCATCCTTCTAACATTTGTATGAATTTGCATGAATAAAACTGAATTTGTGGTCATGCATTAACACACACAGGACACCATGCTTATGTGCAAAACACACACACAAACATTTAAAACTTTTGTTTTTCAAACGCTCTAATCCATCCTTCTTTATAATGCACAAGACCGACCAAAGGGCTTTGCATCCTTTACATCCAGCGCCTCCCTGCTTCACACTCAGCTTTAAGGGGTTGGATTGGAGGTGTTAAACCACCAAATAGTTCCCGAGCGCAGCCACAGCTGCAGCTCACCAAACCCCACAGGGATGGGTCAAGTGCGGAGATGAATATCACAAGTGTGTGTTGACTAATGACACTTTAACTTTTACAAAACAACACAGCAGCAACAAAGAGCTAAAAGTTCTTAAAACAGCTACAGTCGACAGTGTAAAAGCCAACACATGGACTGTTGCCATTTATATAAAAAGGCTCGTTTGATTAGCGTGCCAGGGTCTCAAGACGGCACATGGTCCTTTGACTTAATAATGCTCTTTGTGTGCGAATCCCTTCAAAATAAAAGATTAGAGGCGACAGAAGTGCTGCACCGCTACAGTAAGGGAAGGATTAGAGAAATAATGCACGAATAATTGGGATTTGTGCTTCAGAGCATTTATCAGCTCAGACTTGAGAATAAACTGCAGTGAGATGAAGCACTGAATTAAAAACAAAAGAGACGTGTATATATATATATATATATATATATATATATATATATATATATATATATATATATATATATATATATATATAAAGTCTGTGTGACATGGAAAAGTTGTCCGTCGCGTGTCATACTCATGAGTCTGACTTAAACAAACATCCGGACACAAAGCTTTTTCCACCCCGCTCCTGTCTTAAGCCATTTACAGCCTTACAGACCTTGTGACTGCACAAAGGGGCAGCTGAGGCGTCATATGAAAAGTGTGACTTCTCTAAATAATCACCCAGCGCTGACAGAAAATGGGGTTAAAAGCTGCAAATGAGCCATTTAGCGAGATCTGTCGTACCGTATCGTGGAATGTCGTCCAGCTCGGGTGATGCTGTTCCCGGTGATGGTAGACGGCAAGGTGCTTCTTTTGTTCAGGTCTTCTATGGAGCGACTCCAGGGTTTGGATTTATCCATCGCAGCGTCCATGCTGTTCTCCACACAGTCGCCATCGTAACTGCATCACCATGGAAACGTCACATTCAACACACTATCTTCTGTTTTGGTAGAAACCAACAATTTATCACAAAATCATGCCTTAAATTAATAATCTCCATCATATATGGGCTCATGTGACAGATTTGATGTTTGTCATTAAAAAAACAATCAGGAAAGAAACCCATAAAAACATTCTTTATTTTACTGATGAGGTGACTTTAAAGAGCAAGTCACCCCCAAATAAACTTTTTGTTGCTGATAAACTAAATAAACGAGTGTCTAATCGTGCTGCAGACACGTGTAGTCAATAATTTGGCACTTCAGTGCATCTTAGTTAAAATTTAAATATTCTGCCTAAAACTGGCAGTGTTGTACCGTTGTCAGGTAAAAACTCTGCACTGTATTTTAATTTAAATCTGCCACCGCTATTGGCTAAGAGGTATGCTATGATGTAAACTGGTACATTATGATGTCACAATGATGTCGTGAGCCTGTGTGTGTGTGTATTTGTTAGCGGCTCCGCCCTCTCGGTCTGCCAGGCAACAGCATTTGTTGCATTTTTCAAACATGAAATGGGAGTGGAGTTAGACTCTGGTAGGGGTTGACTTGCTCTTTAATGGGAGTTTTGACCTCTAATCTTATAGATGCACCGAATGCAACAGGATTTCAATTTTAAAGTGGAATAAAAATGACAACTCTCAGCTGGAGTTAGGATTTAGGCTTAACACTTTTGATTTTTATTTATTTACAACTAATTTTATTTGGACCCTTTAAAGCAGAGATAATTGATAATAAATCCACATTTTAGAGCAGTTAGCGTGGGTTAAAATCATTAACGTGAGCAAGTTAGTACGAGTTTAACTCTGTCCTCTTGAAAATGGTCAACTCTAGGTCTAAAAAAGAACAAAATATCCAAAAAACAAGGTGTTTTTATTACAGTAACAAATTGTCTAATGGGTAAGCCAAAGTGGCTACAACCATTCAGAAGCTAACGTTTTGTTATGCTTGGCAGCCGTTTAGCCGTGTTAGCTTACAGGCAAGTCTTTTCCTTGACCTTATGTGCTGCACAAACACTGTTTTACAACCAAGCGTCCATAAAGCGGACAGACCATAATAACACACGTTAATGTAAAGGGGTGTGCTAAAAACTTGACTGAGTTTCTTTGGCCTGGGCATGGGAGAGTGACAATCACACAGACGCTGCAGCATACGGCTGCTAGAATACACAATCTGTCGGCGATGGGCCATGAGGGACTCTGTCTCTGCCGGCCAGGCAGCCGCGACGGTGGCACTGGCACTGCGAGGAGACACGTCAGCCGCTGTGCAGAATAGTGTCGTTGTTCAGGCTTTTGTGCAGTGACTTACTTGACGGCGTATTGTGCAAAAGAGAGGTACTCCACCAGAACGTCCAGGCCTTTATTCTCCTCATTTAGGAACTCCCTCACCCACCTGAACCAAGTAAGGAAATACAACATATAAATATTACAGAGACACTTTTAAACACGTTAGTCAAAACAATCCCATGAGCTAAACTACTGCTACATGTTAGACAATGTTTTAAGGAAATATGACTGAGAAAGAATGAGATCGCGGACACAAGCGACCAAAATTTGTTTGTTCCGCAGGGTGTCTGGGCTCTCCCTTAAAGATGGGGTGAGAGGCTCAGTCATCAGGGAGGGGCTCGGAGTAGACCCGCTGCTCTTCCAAATCGAGAGAAATCAGTTGAGGTGGCTGTGGCATGTGGTTATGATGCCTCCTGGACCCCTCACCGGGGACTATGTCTGTTGGCCAGGGAAAGCCTTGGGATTCCCCCAGATGAGCTGGCCCAAAGGGCCGGGAAGAGGGAAGTCTGGGCCTCTCTGCTCAGGCTGCGTCCCCCAGGACCCGACCCAGGATAAGCGGATGAAGACGGATGCATGGATATAAATTTTACAAATGCTAACTGTGCTTACAAGGTTGTAACTCCGTCTACAATGTTTAATATATCAATCTAGATTAAATGAATAGGCGACCGATTTAGCTCACTTTGTCAAGAAACTGGTCCGTTTTATCTCTCTCTGTCCCTTAATTTAAGCATAATAAAGATGTATCATTGATTTATAAAGTGTTTACCGATTAATTAATGACATATCTATATAAACATTTGTGAGAGGAGCTTCATTGCCAAGTGGCACCCTTATTTCTAACGGCATGAAAACTCGAAGGGCTTACATGAAACGATAGCAGAATCCAGATTCAGCTTTGCCAAAAAGTGTGCCGTGATCCCTTTAACAGAATTCAAAGAGTCTCGGCTCAGAGTAGAACACACACACACACACGCACGCACGCACGCACGCGCGCACACACACACTCACACGCACAGAGACATGGCCCTCAAGAAGTAGAACTGTCTACATCTGCCTAGCTAGCAGCACATTAATGAGGCACACACACATTTGGATTGATACACTTGTGGGGACTTGTCATTGACTTCCATTCATTTTTTGTTGCTGAATTATGCCCAACCCTAACAACCTTAACTAAAAGTGAATTCACACCATAACTCTTAAACTGAGCTTTGGTAACTAACTAACTAACTAACTAACTAAGTAACTCACTCACACACAAATCCAGGGGATGATAGAAATGTCTCGTTTTACTTTAAAAGACTGAAGTGGGCCACCCATTCAGGCCTCCACATGCTTTTATTTTGTTGAACTGGACAAAAAAAGTAGAGCTCTTTTAAAGAAAAGGCTCCGCCCCTTTCTACCAGTAAGCACCATGAATTTTATTTCACTGAATCCCATTGGCTGAAGGTGCCACTACCCGTAAAAGAAAGGATTTTCATCGGCTCTCCTTTTGACGGCCTGTGATTGAGCGTTCAGTAGCGCGGTGCCTGGCGGGGATACAGCTCCAAAAATAAAATGGAGGTGTAGCCTCACTGTCCATATGGTGGTCATTACCACAGGACACAACAATATAGCCATTCACCACATGTTGGTGACCATAGTGCAGCATGATGGACACAGTGGGGGTTCCAGACAATCCCACTATTATCCCCAGCCTCCATGATTGATCAAATTCCCAGCTTCACCTCGGAAAAGCAGCAGCAATTATTCACCATCTGACTGGGTGACATTGTGCTCCCTCACCATCAGCCACTCCACGTCCCTCCGCCTCATTGTCTAATCTAGATGGGCTGGATTATTTGTGTAATCTAGATGACGTTTGCTGAGAATCCTTAGAAACGGTGATTCAGCAGCTCCGTCCGTCTCCGGGTTGTGTGTGTTTTGGTTTAAAGTGCAGAATCCGATCGGTGTGTAAACACTCCGTCGGAGTGAGAGAGACGGTGTTGTCAGACACGGGAGATCGTTTGTGAGTGTGTGGGTGAAGCAGACAAATGGAAGTAAAGTAATCGGCAAGTGGGAGGAAAGGAAGGAGAAAAAACAGAAGGATTAGGAGACATAGTTTAGATTGGGCAGCTTTTTTGCTGCTGCAAAAATATTTTGGCCGTCTTGGTCGAATCCTTCGGTCTTTGGAAGGAAGTCCAGGTCTCCTGTGACCGCCCAACTGCAGCTGGTTTTTCACAAAATCTAAAATAAATCTGTTAAATCTTTCTCAAAACTTTCATTAAAAAAGCTGCTTTACTTTGTGATGATTAGGTCTTAAAAGGACAAAAATCTCTAAATGGCTTCAATTCAACCACAAGATCTGTCTCAGCTGGACTTGACTCACCTGTCACAAGGTTGTTTTTTTTTTTTTTTGTATTTTTTGTTTTCCTTAGGCATTTTGGTTAAATATAAACAACTATGAGTGTGCAGCCTCATCCTCTAAACACTTCTGTATTGGGAGGAATAAACTAGCCCGAACTTGTTTGTTGTGACTGAGATAAACAGATTTAAGAGGTATCTGTGAGACTGCACCATAGCTTTCAGGTTCAAAATAATAGTAAAAAAGGGACTTATCATGCTAAACTTTACTTTTGCATCTTTTATGTGGGTCTGCCCCTATGAACACTCCAAGCGTGAAAAAAAATCTATCCATCTGTTTTCAGACAGTTTGTTTTTAGGAACTATGTGCCCAAAGCCGGATTTATGGTATCAGGGTATCTACAGGTTTAAGGGAGCCAAATTTAAGACTTTTTAAGACCTTTTTTAAGGCCACTTTGACCAAATTTAAGCTATAATTTCCGGCTATTGCCTGGAACCGGTGCTAACCACGTCGCGAACGTGGGATTAGCCATCCAGTAGCCATTAAACTTGCCCTTCCCCATGGCACAAGCTCCCACTAGCTTAACCAGCTAATGTGCTCATATAAAAATAGCCCCCTTTCACAACCAACTGCATGTGTACGGTTCCGCTTACGCCAACATCATACACAAAAAAAAGCTGAACACTAACTAGAAATTCACGAAAATTTTATAGTAATAAAATAATCTTGTTTATTGGGTCTTTGGTCATTTAAGACCTTTGTAAACTGTATTTAAGGATTGTTTGTCATTTTTAAGGATTTTTAAGGCCTTAAATTTTGGAAAAGCCAATTTAAGACTTTTTAAGACTTTTTAAGGACCCGCGGATACCCTGTGGTATTCTTCTCTGTCTGCATGGACACGAAGATACGCAGTGCCATGATACTTTGATGCTAGTGCTCTGCAGCAGGCCCTCAGAGGTTGACAACGACATGCCCAATTTTTTAAGTGTCCTTCAAAAGCAACATAGAGAGTATGCCTGCGATTGGTCAGAATGCCGCTTCCTTTCATTTTGTCAACAGCGTAGGCTTCCCTTCTTCAGAAGAATAAATAGTACTGAAGATGTCTAGCAGCAAACACAGAGCAGATTGAAGAACATCTTGCAGGAAAAAGTCAAACAGTAAAACCATTAACACACCCATGACTCAAGGAGTACGAAGACACTCAACAACCCTTCAGTTCCTGGAAGGAAATGACATGAAATGTAGACTTAAAGAGGTGGCGACTGCATGGAGAGGTGGAGGAGAAGGAGGGACAAATTTGTCCATCTTAAAATGTCTGAAATACATTAACACAATTGTAAATACACTATTGTGGACCAGAGACCTCCAGAAAAGTTGACGCCCTCCGTTTTCCTGGCAGGGAATTGCTCTGCAACACTCCCCGAGCATCGGAGAAGTCTGAAAGGAAAACATCTACGACAATGCGCGAGTGCGACTCTGCAGCTGAGCTGACAGGCGTATAAATCAGGCTTCAAACAAGCTGTTTTAAAAAATCCCAGTTTATGATGTCACAAACAGGGAAATTAGAATAGAACCACCTCTCACAGGCAAGTGTGAGCTGCTACTGGAGAAGCAGAAGCTGTACCATGCGCCCCTCCCTTATATCGTCACTTCTTGGCTAATGGCGAGCAGGGGAAAGGTGGGCGTGACCAGTTCAAGCTTGTTTTCTTAAAGTGACAAAGCCCTGAAACGGCTCATTCTGGAAGGTACTGAAACTGTAATAAGACTGCTGAAACTGATGTCCCGTTTGAATGAATTTTTATGCTTTTCAGTGTTTTATTTTCAGCATAATTTCACCAAAATGTGTGTTTTTCACAATGGTTGCTTAACTACATCCTAAATAACAAACATGTTTTCTGTTTGGTTTCTAAAGATGCCATCATGCATAAGGTCTCATTAGTGATGTCATGCAACCGTTGTATTCTTTAGAAAAAGACTCGCATTCAGAAACAGGAGGATATGTGCAACTTTCCATGAGATATTGATCTTTCCTTAAGGCTGACTGCACAGCTCAGAATCAGACACACGTTCAGTCTTGTCATCCTGGAATACCTGAATTCTTTCATCTATTGTGAAATCCTGATTTCTTTAGTGTAATCCACATTAATACCTCATCAGGCTTGCAGATTTGAAAAGCTGTGCAGATAAACCACAGACAGAGAAATGTGTTTTCCTTCTGGAGGCCGTACATGTGTCAGCTGCTCCGAACAATCCACCGATTCATCTTTTCTCCATCGCCACATGGCAGGCTTTGGGTGTAATATTAGGTCAGAGCGCAGATAGGAGTGTGGGGGGTGGTGGTGTTTAGTGTCGACGTCTGCGTCTCCGGGTGTCTGGTATGTCTGACTTTTTCCCTTAAATCTAATATAATGGAGCACATGACACGAGCGCCACACAGTTGACTCACCCTATATAATTGGTCCGTAAGGAAATTTCCAGTTCTCTCAGGACTTGGGTGGACTCTTGTACCCTCCGTCTGAATTTCTGAGAAGGAAAATAAAGAAAAAATACAGGAAGAAGTTAAATTTCATCATCGTCCCGTAAATCAACACGTGGGAACCCAGAGAAGTGAAACATTCTGGGTGATGAAACATTTTCTGTCAGACAGACAGATCATCAACAACATTTAGATATTTGAAAGCACAAATGCGGTAACGACTTTAAAAGGTTTTGAAAAAACTGGGATTGAGATGTTCTTTTTTTATGTTCCTCTACCATGAAAGTAGTCATTAACTAGACTATTACAGACCACTAGCTGACTCACTGGAAACTGTTTAAAAAAAAGCCTCCAGTTTTCATTTTCCCTCCCTTTTTCTGCATGTGTTGCTGTTAAATAATGAGACTACTGCTGATTCCACTAACAGGAGCTGCACCGTTTTATCGAATACCCACACAGTTTCATTTTAAACAGCTGTTGCAACTACCTAAACATGCAGTTAAAGGTGGGGTGGGAAATGTTTTCCTGGGGCAGTTTTTTGCCATATTGCTTGAAATGCTCTTTACATCTTATCGCAACTAATAAATTACACGTTTTATCACGAAAGTCATTTATTTTAATCACCACTGAAACACATGATTCTGGAAAAACCTCATCCTAGCATTGTGAACGTCCCATTCTTAATAATCGCATCTTGATGCATCCATCTATCAAAGTCCTCTGAAAGTCTTTCTGGCCTCTGGGCATACCTCTCAAGGCGCACAAATGGTGTGTTCTTGCCTTGCAGCAACTTAACAGGAAGCGAAGCCAGAGCCAGGCTGCCTAGTGTAACAAACAAAAGGTTCCATTCTGTTTGTGGTTTGCAAATCTCAGAGTTGTTCTGTTTAGAGTCTGGTTCTGTTCTTCTTGGAAAAGGTTTAGTTGATGGACCTGTTGTTTGTGAGCGCAGCCCGTCTTCTCTCGGCTGGCAGAGCTGAATGTCAGTTTGTTTGCTTGGCAAGACGCCCATGTGTGCATGCGCGGGGGCAAAGAGGCAATATCTGGCTATCGGAGGTGAAGCAAACACAGAAGTGACAAAAAACGCAGTTAAACAATGCTAATTTAATATGTCGGGTTGGTGAATTGTTTGCAACTCATTCATTTAGATGTAAATAAAGCTTTACATTATAAATACTTGGGGCATTTCAATTTGACAGGTGCTGGATGGGCCATCAATGCTAGCACTTTCAGGGAGGGAATAGGCTTCATGAGTACGTTTACATGCAGCCAATATCCGGGTTATGATCGGGTTAAGGTCGACATTCGGGTTTCTGAGTTGATCAGAATAACCCGTTTACAAGCATAAATAGAAAGAGTTACCCCTAACTTGCATAACCCGATTTAAATGCGGACGTTGGGGTACGGTTCCTCTTGTTCCGGTATCCATGAAAACAACAACATTTTTCCCAGTTCGGAAGAGATAGCGACCGCGTTTGTTTGCGCTTTAGTTTCCTCGTCACTCCAAAAGTGTGGTGCTGTGCCGCGACTCGCCATTTTGCTCCCAACTTGTTGTTTACTTCCGGTGTTCTGGTGCATACAAGACGTCTCGCTACTCAAAAGACCAAGATTCCTTGCGAACAGAGCATGCGCAGAACACACGCTTTGATGGGGATATCCCGATATGCGTTTACACGGCCAAACATTCGGGTTAGAAAAGGGTTACCCCAGGTGTAGTAACCGGGTTTTTAAAAACCCGGTTATGGGCATATCCGGGTTTTTGGCGGTGTTTACAAGGACCTGCGGAACCGGGTTATTGTGAATATTCGGGTTTTAAAAGGGTTACTGGCTGCATGTAAATGCACTGCATGTCAAAAGTGTTACAACCTAGAAAGCAGAGAATAGCAAAGTCGCTCTACCACAGTTTTCTGGCTGAAAGTACCCGCCACCTTTTGCAGCCTCAGTCAGCTCAGTTAGCACGTAGCTACATTGGCTCAGAGATGTTCGGGTGCATCTACCCTTACAACCCCACTCTCAGCTCCATTTTGGTATGTTCCAGGAGTGACGAGATGTGTAACACAGCCATAAGAGCAGGTCTAAGATAAATAAAATAAAATATTATGGGTCAAGAAATCCATTTCTGCATTCGAATGGTTAGAAGAGTAAGGACAAACTGCACCAAGGCATGAAGCGGCTACTGAACAAGGAAAATAAGGAGAGGGGGGTCCTCTTTGCTTTTATCCTGACTCAGAGTTATCAGCAGCAGCACTAAACAAAAGGCTGTTCATGCTGTTACACAAGCACTAGAACAAAAAGAGCCAAGCGGTGGTGATCAAACGTAGCAACAGAAGGGATGAAATCCCCGATGAGACGGAATGAAGCGGTTACATCACAGGAGACATGATGGGGACAGAAAACCGACCTGAAAACACTGATTTCTGCACAGGTCGACTTTTAAGCCTCATGGTAAAACTTTTAAACCAATCCTAACTTCTTTTGTGCTTTCATTTACAAACAGTCCAACTATAAGAAGGTCTTAATACTTCTCCAGGTTTTCTGAATGTCTTTCAATAGAAGTCTTCGTGAAGGTCAGATGAACAACATCTGAAAGTATTTTTTAAAAATCTGAAAATACCCATTTGTTTGGGTAGTGCTAACTCTTTCAATTGCTAAAATACAGCTTTAAGTGTCAAAAACTGTCTAACTGTTCATATTTTGGAACAAATTGTGTTTTTATGACAGGATTGCAGCATCAAAATTTCTTCTAATCAGATTTATAGTTTGTTTTTCACTAAATTTTGTATTTGTGGACACAACACTGATCAATCTTTTGAGTTTAGGAGCTTTTTATGCCTTAATAAATTATAGGTCAGAGATAAATGACTATACAACAAAACATTCCATTGAAAACAAACAGGTATATTAGGCCATTTTGGTTGAATTTTGAAAACATCAAAAACGCTAATTTGATATGTTAAAGATGTGGTTCACTTGTTTAATCAATACATTTGCAGTGGTCTCTAGTAGGAATGAAAGCCTTGTAAGTTGTACTCTGGGGAAAAAAAGCTCTGACGTGACTGTTTCAGGAAGTACAAGTCAGGAGTCTTATTTCCTGACATTTGGACTTCTCGCCTATGATTGGTTAACAGCAACATGACCATCACTGACTCCATTTGCATAACTGATGTTTTATCTCCACAAACAACACAAGACTGAAGGAGTTCTGCCATGTGGTGGAGTTACTATAGCTAACAGTTAGCTTCTATTAGCGGAGACTTGTTCCGCCCTCACCTGGATGCTAAATCAGCAACAGCCTTCCTGGACACAAGCCAAGATGGGCGAGTCCATTGATGCTAACTTTACATTATGATGTGCAAATGAGAGAAGCTAATGTAGGAAATAAGGGTAGAAGACCATTTTCACATTCGGCCTGCATGCTAAACTCAAGTGACCTATCATATTTCAAAAATAAAAAGTAAACAGCTTCTTAGAATGTGTTAAATTACTCATCTAAAATCAATATTTATCTCTATTGGAATTTTACTGGCTGACTCGACCATTTTTGTGTTCTCGTAGGTTGAATAGCTGTTGGATTTAACCGATTTCAAAAGCTGGAAAGTTGTAGATGCATATCAGATGAGGAATTTCTGTGACTTTCAATAATATCCATCTGGTGGTTAATCAAATATTTTACTAAAATGGTGACATAAAACAACACTATGAGCAGGGGTGCCCAATCCTGGTCCTCGAGGGCCGGTGTCCAGCTTGTTTTAGTTTTAACTCTCCTTCAACACACCTGATTTCAATCAGCAGGTGATTCAACCAGTTAATCAAGTGTGTTGGAGCAGAAAAACCCCAAAACCTGCTCTCCAGGACCAGGATTGGGCACCCCTGACTATGAGGCACTGATGCTTGTAACTTGGCCCTGAGTGAACCTGTTATTACCGTCCACTAAAAAGAGAACGGTTCCCATGGCGTCTTCTCTCTAGTGGACGTCTTTGGGCTTGGCCGACGTGTGTTTGGAGCACGAGCAGATGAGAAACAGAGTGTTTTTATTGGGGAGGAGTCATGCATGTGCATATTTCAGGGTACTGCGCAGGCTCCCAGAGCCCCCGCCAAACACCCCGCACTTTAAGTGCTACCAGCTGCATCACGAGAGAGCAGTAACAGACAGTGGGGAGGGAGAGAGGACAGCATGAGAGGAAAGGAGAAAAGAAAGAGGAGGAGACCAGGAGGGAACAGGGAAGGGGATACAGCACTGAGAATGTTGAGGGGGAGAAAATAAAAAAAACTTTGGGAGGTGTGAGCACAGGAGGGGTCATCCTGGAAACAAATCAACGGCTGATACATTCTTGGAGTTGGACTGGAGTTCTTCCTCCTTGGCTGCCTATTGGCCATGAGCTGCTCCGAGGAATGTACGGAGCCTGCCTATGGAAAGCAGAGGGAATGACCTCCAGCTCTCTCACAGTGGCACAAAGTGGCAATTGTTTGAGTTGAAGAAAAGGGGATGGAGCAAGATTGTAGAAAGAAGCCCATAACTCTTTTCCTCTGCACCCTCCGCTGCTTCTTTTTTTTTGTGTGTGTGTCTGTCATTTTCTGTCTATCTTCTCTCCCCCTCGGCCGGCTTTTTATAATTCAGCATCCCTCCATCGCTGTTGCCCTCTTCACTTTCGTCTTTCACTTCGTTCCTGTGTGCCTGTCCACTTCAACTTTCAATCAAGGCAAACAAAAGGAACAGGATTCATGTCGGTCCAATAAAAAAAAAAAAGTTCAGGAGAGGAAACCATTGACTAGACCTCTCAACAAGAACAAAAGCAGATTTTTAAGAAAATTTGATTAAATTTAATCATAAATAGTGTTGGAATAGGATCAGCTTTACAAGAAACACGTCACTTTCTCGTCTGGATGAGCCTCTGAGACTTAAACATGGACACAGTAAACCTTTAACATCTTTGAAAATGCTTAAAAGGGTTTTATAAAAATCATAAGTGGGTGCAAGTCGATCCAGAAGTGGACAGTTCAACAGCATAAACCTGTTCACACCTTTTAGACTCATTCAGTCTTAAATACT